CTGAATGGCCGATATGTTAGCTTTCCATACATTTGGGCGCGATGTAACCTGATCGTATAACATGTCCCTAGTTCTTAACGCGAATGACAAAACAGCGTGATCGCTGTTTACTAACGGTAGAAGAATATTTAAGTCGACAATATCCTCAGTCTCATGAGTGATTACCAAATCCAGCAGAGAAGAACCCTGGTTAACACCAAAACGTGTGGGTCGGGATACATGCTGCACTAGTGCATGCTCCATTATTGTTATCAGTAACCTACTATCAAAGGAGTTTATAGATCCTTCTGTGGTCATATCAGTCCAACTAATATCAGGTGCGTTAAAGTCTCCTATTATCAAGCACCTGGTATTATCACTCCAAAGATGAATGTGCTCTAAAACAAGGAAGGAAGTTCCAGCTACCCGTGTTGCCCTGTGAAGATCCTAACATGCTTTGAAAGTATAAACAGAATAAATTAATAGCATTTATTTTCTTGAACGATGTTTTAAAGTTTCATCTCAGAATATCATTCCTAAATGTAAGAAACGGATAGAACATAATGATGCCTATAGTTTGTTTTAGAACCCTGTATATTCTGAAAAACCTATTCTATTTCTGTTCATCAAACTAAATAGATTTCTGAGCGATCATTTTCAAGTGACATTATTGTAAACACGTGTAAGATCATAGTTCAACAAAATTACATGGCACAGCTCCAGACACAATCTTCCAAGTGCACCTCCAATAATCAGTATCACATCCAACCCCTTGATCATTTGTTCATTGGTATAAATGACCTTAAACTAGGAGAGCTTCTGGCGGGAATATTTTTTGGGCTTTCAAATGACTCAAGACTTTTGCTTTACTTATAAATTGTTTAACAATGATCTTCGTGACGCTGTTACCAAACAGCATAGTGAGTACTATCCAGCCGTGCTTGGGTTAAAGGGCTAGACAAATTTCGGTGCTAGCAGTTTTTTAAGCACCCATTCTTCTGAAAGCACTCCGATCAAATGTCTGATCTTACAAGACTCGAAAGCCGTGAGAGATGTGAAAATTAACCCAGTACACTTAAACTAAAATGGGGGAGCCCATCCTCTCGAAACCTACATTAATTTCACACGGTTTAAGGAAGGCTGTAAGGAATAAGCTGTGTGAACTTGTTGAGTTGTTCATTTGGACTACTATTGTGACTGCAATAAAGGTGGATGAAAAACATCAAGAATTAGCTGTGGTTACCGCATGACACTAAATACTCGGCTGTTGCAACAGAGTTGTATCACTGTCGAAAATGAAGATATTCTACATAAATTACGTCGGTCGAGGTGTTTTTCAAAATAGAGATGCATTATTGCAAATTCCATTGGATGATATCTCTAGTGAACCAACTACTAATAATACACCATTCGAACTGTTCAAAAGCAAACTGCTTCCGTTTGGAGTAAACCTTTCATCGGCCATATTGCAGTAGGTTATAGACCAAATTATCATCGGACGTGGTGGTGTTGAATCGTATCAGGATGATATCGTGGTTCATGATGAAAATATTAAGGTGCATGAAAACATCGTTTAAGGTTATTCGAACGCATTCACGGGACAAACGAGGCCGTCAACCAATTAGATTGTCAGCTTGAATTTAATTCTATCAACTGCCTATGCTTTACTGTATCGCTGTGGGTTTTAAGCCTGGTATGAATCAAGTAACTCAGCAGATTCAAGTACAGTTGCTTATGAATATCTCAGGTCGTGGGTGGGTGTATTTTAATTTTACTCCAGGTTTATTCCAAACTTACACAGTTTTTATCTCTACCCTTTGACTTGGTTTCTAATAAAAACATTTTATGGGAATGACTACACAGGGTTACAATAAGAGAATTTTGCAATTCCTAAATAGTGAGACTTTTACTGCTACCATTTATCCAGCGTTTTATACTTTAAAAGAGCTGGAAAAATGGTTATAGTAAGTTTCTACTGAGACCGTAGGGCCAGGCAATTTGAGCGTCAAGTTCCACTTTAAACACACGGACCTACAGCATTCATTATAGAATGACAAGTACTATAATACCCAAGCAAAATAAGGAGGTCAATAAATTCTTGATCTATAATGTTGTTCCGCCTACTTTTCCTCTGCTCCACTCTGATGGAAATGTCGGTTTGATTAATCTATTAGATACACAAATGTCAGTTTGGTTTGATAATAATAACAATAATTTATTCTCGAATAAGTCTGTTACACGAAGCATGCCACTTTACACGCAAGATCGAATAGTTACAGAAGATACAGTCTTCACTGTTGTGTGTTACTCAGTTAGAGTGATATGTCATAAGGTACACTGATTACAGAATTATGGTAGATAACACTTCTCACATCTGAATGTTTACAACACCAGTAAAACCCGTATATGACAGTTGGCGCGTTTTATGGAGGTTGCAGTTCGACGTGCCACTGATGGTCGAGAATAAATCCACGTAGAGTTGAAAGCTTCTAGAAATCATACATCATGTTTTTGTGGAACAGCTATAACATCATCGATGGCGCAGGACGTATTCGCCAGTTCCATATGTGCTTTTAGTAGCCATTCTCAAGAGGGCTGAATAGGAAGGCGAGAAAAAAGAAAGGAAACTAACAGGAGCAGAGCGGAAAATCTTCATGTATTTTGAAATGGAGAAATTTTGAAGGAAGAGTAAAGGCAACATGACCCATTAAAATTCACATATTCGGATACAATCTAACGAATAGCATAAAATGTTACGATTGTTAAGTTGACGTCAAAAGTACTAGAGTTGAAAGCTAGGGTTTATAGGTTTCGAGGTGAAAAATATCACAGCTAGGTGTCAGAGTTTAGGGGCATCTAGGTAAAGCCTTATGAATCGTGGGGTTAGGAGTTGGGATTATGTGTGTTACGAGGTCGTAGTTCCCAGACTAACTTGTGCACAGTTAAACCTAATACGTTTGTTGATCACATGAAAACCCTCAATTCCCTGTGATTTTATCATTGTCTTACATTTTACAAATTTCACAAAAGCTGAATGATAGTTGAAATTTGTGAGTGATTATTCTTAATGTAACCCTAAGAATCGCTTACGACAATCGATATGGAGTGCTTATGGCGAAATTTTCTGAGAATATTGAATGGAATCTAAACTATGAAATATAAGGTGTGGGTGAAGGAACATTTATACTGAAGATATAGTGGAAAGTAGAATAAGTGTTAATAAGTTATCAACTAGATAAGTTAAGTGCTCAATTTTTACCCATTTTAGTCTTCAGTCTTCAGTAATAAGGATAGTAGGTTGGTGAACCTGTATTAATCCTGACACATTGCTTTCCAGTGAAGGTCCAGCTCCTCATCATAAAAGCATGACTAACTACATCCATGCAGACACAATATGATAAAAGCATAATGAAGTGCATCTTAGAAGTTAAATGAAATAAAGCATACATCCATCCTATAAGACTTCAGCGACCCGGGTAACTTCAAGGTAACTTCAAGGACTGCTATTGAGGTTAGAAAATCTTGGTATTGTCGGACGGTTTTCAAAATGGCTTAAGGATTTGTGTAGTAAGGACAGGAGGCCTACAGCCTGTGTTATTCCCCTTCTAATATGCTTCTGTGGGTGTGCAGAATTATGGTCTTCTACGATATTAGAACTGTTCTAATAATAGACCTGATCCTAAAACTGCGGATTTGTCATAGTGTAACTGCCTAGTCTATGAGATCTTGCGTGGAAGCCACATGGTTGTCTACACTGACTCATGACATCGTAACAATTGCCAATATATGATGGAGGACACATTCAGGCTGGAGATGGAACAATATGTTCAATATGAGTAAAATATATAAAGTAACATTCAACAGGGACCACGCCTGCAAGGCCAAGCCATGCCATCCGACCAACTCGAATTGGTTCAATTCTTTGTTCCCGCCTTCTCCATCGTTAGGTATTTCTGAGCGTTAAATATTGAATATCTATTTTCCCAGTAGTCTCGTGTTCAGTTTCAGGATTGTGTGGTCATGGTCCAATGCCAATACAAGTGTATAGTTTTCTCTCATTTGAGTCAATTGAAGTTGCGGACACCATTGCTTCGGGTAACAGGTTCCAAGAATTGATGACTCGATTTTAAAACCTTCTTGGCTTTTCTACTCGTCTGCTATATCTCCGAGATGTCCCGACCTAGTGAGGAGTAAAAGAGATAACATGTTAGGTCTAAAATCATTTCTTAGTATTTTTTACATCAAAATTGGATCTCCCCTTAGTCTGCGATAGGTCTAGCTTTTCAAGCCGCTCTTTTTTTGGTAAACCTCAGAGTTCTAGAATTGCACAGGTAGCTACCCTCTGTACTTTTCCTAGGATATCCGAATCACCTTTTAAACAGGGGTTCGCAGTCTGAACACAGTTTCCAAGCTTATCTCTCACTAAGGTTGTGTATACTGTGGTGAAAATGTTAGTATATAACTTGGTGAATGTCCGTTTAAAAGCCCATAGAGATTTAAACTCCTTAACTACGACCTCCCGACAATGGGCCGTCGTCTTATGATCATGACTCACTGTCGCCCCTAGATCCTTATGAAACCGGAACACGGGTACTAACACTTTCCCTATGCTGTACCTATTAACCTTTGATTCCGGTAAAAGGCACATAGATACACTTTGCCGCATTGATAGGCATCAGCCACTCTTTAGACCAGTTAATCATATTATTTAAGTTTTCCTGACGGGCGCATGCACTGTATATCCAGCTATTAATCGCCAGACTTTTACATTGTCAGCGTATAATAATATCGGGGACTGTATCATACTTGGAAGATCATTTACATACAGTATAAAAGGTAGAGGGCCTGTGACGGAACCTTGAGGTATTCCACTAAGTATTGGTCTCCATATGGAGAACTTAGAATTTGTTCTTACTTTCTGTCTACGACCTACTGGGAAATCCTTAAGCCATTTTGAAAACCGTCCGACAATACCAAGATTTTCTAACCTCAATAGCAGTCCTTGAAGTTACCTTGAAGTTACCCGGGTCGCTGAAGTCTTATAGGATGGATGTATGCTTTATTTCATTTAACTTCTAAGATGCACTTCATTATGCTTTTATCATATTGTGTCTGCATGGATGTAGTTAGTCATGCTTTTATGATGAGGAGCTGGACCTTCACTGGAAAGCAATGTGTCAGGATTAATACAGGTTCACCAACCTACTATCCTTATTACTGAAGACTGAAGACTAAAATGGGTAAAAATTGAGCACTTAACTTATCTAGTTGATAACTTATTAACACTTATTCTACTTTCCACTATATCTTCAGTATAAATGTTCCTTCACCCACACCTTATATTTCATAGTTTAGATTCCATTCAATATTCTCAGAAAATTTCGCCATAAGCACTCCATATCGATTGTCGTAAGCGATTCTTAGGGTTACATTAAGAATAATCACTCACAAATTTCAACTATCATTCAGCTTTTGTGAAATTTGTAAAATGTAAGACAATGATAAAATCACAGGGAATTGAGGGTTTTCATGTGATCAACAAACGTATTAGGTTTAACTGTGCACAAGTTAGTCTGGGAACTACGACCTCGTAACACACATAATCCCAACTCCTAACCCCACGATTCATAAGGCTTTACCTAGATGCCCCTAAACTCTGACACCTAGCTGTGATATTTTTCACCTCGAAACCTATAAACCCTAGCTTTCAACTCTAATACTTTTGACTTGAACGTTATAATCGTTATAGTTTATTCGTCGAGAAAATCATCATGTATTCTTTCTAAAATACAAAATATATTGAAAATCATGATGTCAAGCAATGGACTTTAAAAAGCAAAATTTTAAAATTGTACTAATATTCATTGAAGACTTTCTTACTGTTTATTTGTCGCTCAAGGGTCTCGGAATAGGGTAGGATTACGGAGCTTATATTTGTAAAAGGTATTTGGTTTCAGTCGCACAGAGTTTTGCAAATGTAGCTTTATAATGTCATATCCTGGATATTTAGTCGTTCTTACTACCGGTGGTATTACTACTATCTCTGTTTTTTTCAGTCTTCAAAGGTAGAGGCGAGCTATGGGCCCTTATTAATTCTCGTGATTTTCCGGTTCTGAGAAAATCCATCCTTCAAAACAGTTTTTGATAGAGTTCTGGTAAAGAATTCCAACAATTGACGACTCAGTGCATGACATAAAACTCTAAACGTAGACGATTTGATCTCGGTTTTAGAACTTTCTTAGGATACCCTTTCAAATGATCAGTCCTGGGTGGAAGAAACAAATGAGACAATATTAATGCAAGCGCTTACTCAGTGTGCGTTACACCAGTATTAGTTCACCTCTCAACATGCGGTAAGATGGCGCAACTAAATTGGGGTGTATCAATCTGTCTTCATAAGTTAGGTCAGAAAGACCTTTCACTATTTTTACTCCTGACTGTTGGACCACTTCAATTATATCTGCTTCATATTTAAAACAAGGACTGTGTAATTGTCTTATTCTGAGTGAGGCTCCACATACATTGAGTGTAATAACGTAAATATTTTTTCAACTAAAGTACGAAATGACTTGCAAATACCCCGTATGATCCGAAAGTTTCTAAAACTGACTGTAGTATAGTTACTCGTAGTTCTAAAGTCATGTCTACTTATGATTTCCCGATTTTCACGATCCAGAATTCACGGAATGGCATCCCGTTTGTCGTTTATTTATGCAAATCATCCCAGTGATCGGTTCGCATTACCATACTTTTGCTAGAATTCACTTCTAAGGACCACCTATTTCAGTGCTCATTCATTGTATTCAAATCTTCCCGTAATCGTGTCTTATCAGTCACACTTTATCGGTTTCCAGACTTTAATGTTACCCACAAACTAGACGGTTTTGAAACTCTAGATAAGTCATCTATGTAAATTGAAAAAGAACAGGATCTCAGATTTTCCCTTGAAGAACTCAATAATAAGGCATTTATTTCTCTCACCCGTTGTCTTCTTTCTCTGAGCAAGTCATTTATCCAAAATCTCACTCTACGATTGATGTCGAAGCTTACCAGTTTTAATTTAGGACTTAGGTGAAGTTTTATCGGTTTTATTTAGATCAGCAAGAACTATCTACTGAAATATTCTTGTCTTCCTTCGTAGTTTTGTCTTCTCTTGTAATGTGAAGATTAGTGAGATATCGAAAACCTATCCTAAAATCTTGTCGTCAATTTCTGTTCATGTTGTTGTGTGAATCAGGTTCTATGTTGATTGTAATTGACTGACCTACTACTGAAATACACCAACTTCTACTGCTCATTTAAATGGTTTTTCTGCTGACCTCAACTATTCAGACTAAATAACTTCAGTGATTTTCTCGCAATATCTTCCTCAGTTTAACAAAAAAATGGAAATTTCCGTGTAAGAAAAAAGGAGGAATGGGGAAGTTAAGCGATATTTTCTTTCTGTTCGGTTATTTATACCTTATTTTTCATTAATTATAATTTTTCTACAAACTCACCTTTACAATACGCTTTGTGAAAGACGCGATGCATGATGTTTGTGTCATATAATAACAATGTTTACAGTGGGTCTATACTAAAATAAAGAAAACAATATTCAAATGATTTATTCAAAGCTACCCGGCTTTTATCATTTGCATATGCGTCTCCTATCTAGAGAAAATTTTAAAACGAAAAAATACAATTGTTTGTCGTAGCATCTCTTAAATGCTTAGTACAGCAATACTGCTGGAAATAATACCACGGATACTACTAGAAACTTAGTTGATTCTAACTGTCAGAATACTACCAAGCAACTGAAATTTTAAATTGGAACAGTAAACGGCATTTTTAAAAATGGAATTGACAAGCTATGTCATACATAGTATAATGACTTCAGTTTTTTAACCTGTTAACAGTCTGAAGAATCTCTTAACGTTGATCATAAAAGTATGGTTTAGTTGATGATATAACAAGTCTTAACCTCTCATTTTTGGTCCAAAAAAGTATTACGTGGTACAAGCTAATCATCATCTCATATCTTGCCAGATTGTAAAACCAAAGGTTGGTGATGGGAGATTTAGTGATTGCTCAAAGAATTATATAAATAGTTCCAAATTCTGGTGTAATAATACTGTACACTACAGGTTTCAATTAAGATGGTTTCCGCAGTTTTTCTCCCATCCAAAACGTAAAAATTAATGACGCGGATTTACGCAAATACCTCTAGATGGATGGTTTTCTTAGATATTTAGTTCCACTGTGTTGTGGTGCAGCCATAGGTGGGTGTTACCTAGTGGGATATCAGCTATAACTCTAACGACAACTTCGATACAACATGCAATAGCACTATTCTCCTTTAGCTCTAGTTACTCCTAAAAACAATTCTTAAAACAGTTTATCGGGAAAGACCGGGGGAGATTGCATTTATATTCATTTAAATTAGCCAATGTATCGATCAACTTCAATGACTATTAACTGAGCGGCCGTCATTTGAATGCAGAATAACAATTAATTTACTAGTACACTGAAAGGCCTTGGAACCCAATAAGCTAGCTTCATACGAAATAAATCAACATAAATGATAATGCATCGAAAGCTAATGAACATAATTCACTTTGAATCAACATATGAGTGTTAAAATTGTCTCCTTCCTAAATGTCGTATTTGGGAACTTAGCACCCCTAATAGTGAGAAGAGTCCACTCCCTCAAAATCCTCTCGAATACTCACGGAACTATAGCTCCTGGCATCGAAGTCCTACTCACTGGCTTGTTGCTCGTTTGCTTCTCTGCATTCAGCTTGTGCCTTGACTTTCTCTGTTCTCGTTTGACTGTTGTTAGTTGCTGTCTTCTTGTCCCTCATTCCTTGAATCTTGTCCAGGGTTTCGACGGAGATCCATTCCTTGTGACGGTACCTCTTGCGACCCAGAACCTCCTCACATGTTGAAGTTAATACTTCTTTGATCCTTTTCCATTTGTTCTCCATAATAGTTTCTTGTTTGAGTAGATCCTGTAAGGCCTGGGACCTGTTGTTCAGTGTTATCTTGAATTGGCTGAGTTTGTTGATATCTCGTAGGAAGGCTGTATTGAACCTTCATAATACTGTTTCCCCAGCTGTCCAATGTTTCTTTAGCTTCATTTTCATCTTAGCACCTATAATCGTTTTTTTGGAGGCACATCAATTTGCAAATATCTCACCATTCTCGTCCCTTGCTTCCAGTCAATCCATGTCGTCCTATATCTTCATTCGCGGTGTTGTTCATCCCGGCTTTCATCATCAGGCGTCATAAGTCCTCCTTGGTCTAATTTGTTTATCCTGGTTAGCGTATTTTTAGCAAGGTTGTTTTTCACGGGATGGGGTTGCTGACCCCATTCCAAACCCTCCTCCTCCACCCGGGCTTGGAACCGGCAGTAACCCTAGAAAAGCTACAGGCGGAGTTGCAACTCATTTACATATATGATAAGTGCTAATTGAAGAGTAGATGTAAGCATCGTTATATCATCTGGTACTTAATCATACTTTCATGACCTAAAATTTCTCTATCAATATATTTAAAAAAACACATAAGTTACTGGACTAAACTAAATAACTTTTTTTTACAAATATAATGTCTTTTTAATATTTTCCATATATTCAGGGTCCATTTATTTTGAAACAATTCGTTCAAGCCTGAACGAAAGTTCACATAAATTAATAATATAGTTCGCTTACTGGGATCAAATAGAATATATGTGTGAGGGAACGTTGAAACTGAAGATTTAAGGGTAGTTAGAATAAGTGTTAATAAACCATCAGCTTGATAATTTAAGTACTCAACTTTCACGTCATGTGTCACTAATATGTACTTTAATCCATCTATGCGATTACTTTGTTAGTTAATTTCTTTCATACAATATTCAGGATGTACTATCCTTAAATTGGTGGATTATTTTTTACTCATTTCCATTACGTCATTTGTTCGTCTTAAAAGTAAGTAGGTATTACATTCTCGAAACTATAAACGTATGAATATTTACTGTACTCCTATTGGTCAAGTGGGTTTTCCACCATTAAATCACTGGTTCAAAACCTGCTCCATATATTTCATTTATGTAGCTTGGTAGCTATATTCTTTAGCCCTCTTAGGCAAAACATCGTCATACTCAATGCAGAACCTGGCATATATATGCATCAATACAAGTTGCCGCACTACATCAACATAGCAAGATTCTAGAGTAGCGGTGAGTATTAGTATTCGTGGGAGCTAAGAAGATTAGACTCAGAGAATATAATTCGAGAAGAAAATGCGTATTAGTCGTATAGGTAAACTTTCAAAATAATTAAGAAACTTAAGATCTAAGGGGAGACAAAGAGTGAATGCACTTGACCCATCGAGAATGATTGTGAGCCATTTCATCCAGTGTCTTGTAACCATCGCTTACGATAATCATGCAGACTCCAACCTGGTATTCTGAACTTTTCTAAATGGCTCATTTCGATAGCCACTAACTTCACAGACTGATGCTGCGTTTTGGTTCAGTCGGACTTGACTTGGTTCTAACCTCCTACACCATCTATCATTCCCCATCTAGTTAAGCGGTGGCTGGATATACTCGATAAATGTCCAAACCGTCCCATTTGTTGGAAATTCGCTATATCATCAACTAATTTTCCACATTTGTCTAACATAAGCATTTGTCATTTAGTAGTCTCAACATACTCGAGTAATGTTTTAAAGGCATCTATGACTAAATACTATTAACCAACGAATATCCTCTATTTTTAAAAGTTTTCACGACTACACAGTAAAACAGCGTACTGCTGAGTGGCGCACTCGTTCTTTGGTTGGGAAACATACATATTGCCTACACCACAGGTGGTGCAAGTTAGCAAAGGCAAGCGAGCTTCATGAATTCGTGCCAAAATTTCATCAGACATCAATCCATGAAGGCTGATTAGACTTCCAAGCTAAGTGTATTTGTTGATGCTCTCAGCTACTTCACCCCCTGTCATTGGTTTAGGCACTGATGCAGAATAGTCCTAAAGCAACATCTTACATTTGAAGAGATAGGAATACATCTCGTGCATGCTAGCACTGTTGCTCAAGAGTAACGGAGGAATGAATTTTTCCGATTCTCACTAAGCAGGATTGTCATATCCATATTCTAAGTCAATAAATAAATCTCCCAGTAAATGATCAATTCTTGAAAATCAAATGATGACAGCATCCTCTCTAAAAGAATGAGTATGAAGAAATCAAATAAAAAATTGTGGAAGCCAACAAACCTGACGAACATCATCCAATGTTATCGATTCTGATGGTAGTTTGCCATAAACTGTGACCCGACCGGTGATATTCAAGTAGAGCTCGTATATGGCTAATGTATTTCTTCGGTACCCTTTACAATGGCAGGCTTTGCTATAAAACCTGTCAGTTTACAAAACCGAACACCGCCCGGAGGTCAAGAAATAAAACAGGTTGGGAGTCATTAGGTATGTCTCTAATCCAGGAACTAACAAAGGGTGAATATTTGGTTTACACATCCACGTCCAGGTCTAAAACCACCCAGCCTGGTTTTCCTGGGTTCGCTCTTCATGAGCTCTGATTGTGGCATCATATTATTATAAAGGCTAGTATATTAGTCACATCGATTCTTTTGTGTTTAACACTAGGATATATCCATCATTCCTTATGAACCTGAACGATCGGCGATTGAGGTCAGTCAGATGGGATTACTTCCATTTCCCAAACTCTTGCTAGTATCACGATAAACTTAGATGCTAAAACTGGACTACACCTTTGCATATCTGCTGGGTTAATCCATCTTAATCCAGCCAATGAGCTGCTACTTTATGGAAGCCATACACAATTTCCTATAGTATGGTTTAGTTTTAATTACAATGTGCATGTTTAAATGAATTTCCCAATGGGGATCATGCTGACAATCTCTTTTCAGTCCACGTTATTATGTACGTTGTTTATACTGTAGCATGAAGTTTTTCACTGGTTTACTGTGAACTAGTGATTCTGTTATTAACATTCATGATTGCTGTTCATTTTAGATTTCTGTTAACTCTGATTATGGCGGATTGCCTACTGAAAATACCATTGAAATACCATTAAGAGGAGGTGACGAAATAATTGAACTTGACACAGACCAGTTGCCCGATGGTGAAGAAGTGCTCAACATATTGAATCAAGAAAAAGCTCCCTTGCAAATTTGGATCACTGTTGCTATTGCTTACTATAAAAAGAAATTATACGATGATTTTGAAAAAGTTCTTGAGGAAGCATATCTAAATGCAGCTGATCTTCAACCATATCATGATAGCGACTTGGTTCGATTGCTAGATATGCTTGCTAATTATTATGGTCGTAAAGCTTACAAGTACGAGTAATTACTTGGCAAAAACTATCTTCTTTTTTATTGAATTCGCTAAACGCTTGTTAATCTGCAACATTTTCAACAATTCTGACACTGTTTTCTCTCTAACATTTAATTTTCAGGTTATTTTTATCTATGTGTTATTACATTTTTAACAATTTAGTTACATTCCTGAACGAAAAAATATGGTTTAACTAGGGTTTCACAGCATGGTTAATGAATTTTTAATTAGTTCAAATTTCAAAGTTTTATTTTGAAATGGTGGAGAAGATTTGTAGCTCAAGTGTATGATTTTAGGGGAGTTTTATTTTCCTACTTGTATTTAAGTCATCGCCAATCAAACTTTATGAGCAACAAAATAAGCACTGTTAAAACGGACAAATGTGCAGATTTGTGTTAGAATGACTATCTTATCATCTTAGATATTGAATCAATACCGTTCACTAAAGACCAAATCAATAAATTCAATAAATCACGATACTTGATTATATGAACTCCAAGTCCCATCGACTATCAGAAACCATATATAGACAACAACGACATTACATTATCAAACAGTACAAAAAAGTTAACAAGTATGGTCAAAGTGGAATATTAGTTAAATCAGTTTTAGATATAGGATAGTCTCTTATATTCAGTGTAGCCGGATATATGTCTTCACACATCAACTAATCATGGATTACTTTGATCGACACAAGCTTATATTATTTAATTTGCTTTTGTATATTGTAATCCTGATCACAATACAAACCCAGATCAACAGAAATGTACATTGTATGGTATTGAATGAAAGGAAATGATTTTCCAAAAAATATCAGAATATCTCCCAAAATTATGGATTAGGGGTACTAATTTTCAGAGCGTTTGTTTATACGCGTAATGCGAGATATATAGGGCATATGTTTCTTGTTGCTTAAATTGAATAATTAATTATTCTACAATTTTCATTTTCAGTCTTGGATTATCTATTGCGTTGTTAACAGACAAATAATTCATAGTTGTACTATCTTGACTGAGTAGTTTTTTCAAATGTTAATAACAGCTTTAATTCATATACTCAACCAATAGGATAGTAATTCATTTTTTGACGTACACTTGACTAAGATCTAGAGATCAGACATCTAATCCATTTCAATAATTTTAGCAAGCCTATTCAGTTGTAATAATCATATTTTATGAAGGAATTATCTATTGATATATATGAAAACAAGTATTTAAAATGTTTATTTTTGTATAATTTACAGAGAAAAAAGCAAGGATAAAAAGAACCAATTAATTGCTCAAGCAACTAGACTTTTTACGTCAGCTGATCGAATTGATATGTACGATCAAAAGCATCTATTGGGCCGAGCGTTCTTCTTTATCTACGAAGGTGAAAATTGGAGTCAAGCTGATAGTCAATTAAATTTTGTTTTAAATCAAGGTGCTCCGAGTGTACCAGCTTATCTAGGCAAAGCATGTATTGCATTTAATAAAAAAGAATATAGAAATGCCTTGGGATTTTATCGTAAAGCATTACGATTACAGCCAAATTGTCCAGCTACTGTTCGACTTGGAATGGGTCATTGTTTTTTTCGATTGGGCAATATGGAAAAAGCCCGTTTAGCGTTTAAACGAGCTTTGGATTTAGATCCAGAATGTGTTGGTGCATTAGTTGGATTGGCTGTGTTGGATCTTAATGAAAAGACTCAAGTAAAATTCTTTTTTTATCACACTTATATTGTTGTGTAAATTATTTGACCAGTCGGGGCTTACAACACATCGGTGCTCTTTTATGTAAGGTAGAAGATAATTCCACTCTTAATTTGTGGAACTATGTAAAATCAAAATGACTGTTTTTTGTGAGTCATTTACGTTTTGACCATAGGTAGAGTAAATGGTGAAGTTCTTGTCTTCGTTTTAACCTCCTTCCCGAAAGAGTATATGCATTACGCATTATAAAGAGTTTCAATTAGGCAGTTTTCTTTAGTCTGAAAATCGTAGTTATGAAATGTAGGTACGGGTTACCACGTTTATTGTCTGATAGAAACTCACTTTTATTTTACTGAAATAATACTCATTTTATTGAGTAGTTGAATTATAAATAGTTAGAACAACTTTTAATAAAGTATGTCCCATCATTTACTTGATGGTTTTTTGATTAAAACATCTTAACTTCTGACCATTGAATCACAGATTTGAACTTGACTCCACCTTCGGTTTATTAAACACTTTCATAGTCTTAATTATAGTGCACTGTTATTGGTCATTACTAATAAAAAATTATTAGAATTGAATGCTTTTATGTTGCTACTATAAAGTTCCTAATGACAACATCATCGATTTTTTGTGTGACTTTAACATACCACACAGACAATAAACTTGTTTTACAACAAATTCTGTGAGCCACACAACAGTGTTTAATAAGCGGTCAAATCTATCCATTAATCCATATTTAAGCACAGTTTTTGTACTTCATACAGTTGTCGTAGGAATTCTCAAGGTATTGCGTTCTTACATCTGGGATGATATGATCGTGTGAAGCTTTCATTCTCTTTCTAGACACACACTTCGAGAGATGTGAGGTATTAAAAATGCTTTACAAGTAATGAGGCAAGCAGTCATAGGAAGACGAATCTATGGTGTACATTTTGCGTGTGAGGCGAAATTTAGATTGTTATGACCGAGAAGTAGAATGTTAGTCGAGATTTGAACGCTGTGATATGGTTTGAGTGAGTAATGGCACAAGATCATATTTTTGACTTAAGCAGACGAATGATTAGAAATCATAGACAAGACCACTAGTCAAAGGAACTTTTTTCATGGAATGAAATAACATGCTTATTTGCAGAATACGAACACAAGATGAACATGATAAAATGGTCATAAGTGATTAGGGGGAATTAACTTTTAGGTCATTCATTATTCTTCAGGCGATTAAGGACAGTCTATTAGGTCTAATTTTGGAGCATCGTGTTACCGTCCCCACGAAATATTGTGGAATCATCCTGTGACAACATTGGTGTTGTGTGTGTTCAGTTTTATTTCAAATAATGTTTCCATCTCTTCCGATTGCCATCGCTTCATTGATATGGACTGAGAGATAATTCGTTTCGACTCTTCCTCTCCCTCTGTAAAATAAAGGCTTGTCTCACTATTTAATTGGATAACGATCCGAACACATGAAGGCTTCCTGTGTTATAACTAAAAACGTCAATGGTTCTCATGATATTGTTTAATGCGTGACTTGTGGAGGTTGATCTGGCATGTAAACTTTTTTAAATTAAAGAACTTCATGTACGCCTCATGAGCTACGTCATATTGGCTGCACATATAAATAACCAAAGTGTTTCTAATTAAAATACCGACAAAGATCTCCCATCAATGACCCCATCGTTATTAAGCGTTCTACGTTAGTCTTTTTTATTATTTATTTAATCTTAACGACTAATTTTAATTCAAATTAAATTTTCTATTAAAAGAAAATATTCATCAAAGCATTCATTTCAACCATGTGTTACGTAACATATAAGTAAGTAGGGAAAATTTGTTTATCAAATTTCACTTCCTATATGACTAAAGTTAATATCGAAACATAGATAACTACAATTATTATTAATTTTATTTTGTGGTCGTGTGATATTTCGATGTAACTGAGTTAATCATTCAGTTTTAATTAATAATTGAGTAAGTAACTATGGTCGCGTCTTGTGGATGTTTTGGATTTATTTTGATTCATTTGCTAATAAATATGCGTAGAATTTAGTAGATTATAAATTACAGTACAGTGAAATGTAACATAAGGTACAGTTTACAAGACCAGTTACCTTATTATTCTACTAAATAGAGTATAATTTAACCAATGGAAACCAACTTAGACTATTTAATGTGAAATATTTTCGAATCAAAGTATCGTGTTTCCTTCAGAATTATTTTAAGTTATCTCACCTCTCTGCATTAGGAGGATCAGCAGAGTTAATATAAATATCTTTAAAACACGAATATATGAACGAAAAATATTATTTTCAATAAATTCTCTTAAGGTCCTACAATTAAACGCATCTAAATTAATAACCCAAAAAGGTGATCAGGTTTAAGGCAAAGTATATCGTGTAAAGTTATAGCATGTGAATTTTTCTAAATTACTAATTTGGATATATAATCGTAGAACCCTAAGATGATTTATTGAAAACATTCTTCATTCATATACTAGTGTTTTAATATGATGGGGTTTTCTAAACAATTAATATATTTTACATAAAAGTCGAAACGATAAGTAAGCATGTACAATTTGTGTATTTATTCGCAATTATTATTATTCTCATATCAGGAGTCAATTAAACAAGGAGTTCAGAAATTATCACGCGCTTATAATCTTGACTCAACTAATCCTATGGTGTTAAATCATCTAGCTGATCATTTTTTTTATAAAAAGGAATATGCTAAAGTTCATCGATTAGCTTTACATGCATTCTATAATACTGAAACGGAATCTATACGTGCTGAAAGTTGTTATCAAATGGCTAGAGCATTTCATATACAAGAAAATTATGATAATGCATTTCAGTATTATTATTTAGCCACACAACTTGCTTCTTCAACATTTATTTTACCATTTTATGGTCTTGGTCAAATGTATTTACATCGTAATGATTTAGAACATGTAAGTATTAATTTATTTGCTTATCGTTTCTGATAACTATTTAAACTCATTGTTTTAAATACATAGTTTGACTACTAGAAGTACTCTACAACTCAAACTCATATTTTTGATGACATTCCAAAAAAAGCTCAGGAAATGCTGGTAGTTATTTACATAGGTAACACTGTTATAACCGAAAAAGTATTGCAGAAGTTGAAACTGGTTTTACGACTTATAATTAGTTATAATTTTGTTGTATAGCTATTAAGTAACTGGATTACCATTTCTATGTATTCCGTCCATCGTAAGCTTCGGTTAACGGATTAAGTACAATTACAATTAAGTACAATTCCTAATTTGTGAACAATTATTCATTTTAAGATGTTCTATGGCTTGGTATATCTGTTTATAAACCAGGTCTGTTTGAATTATAAGTATAATGGAGGCTGGTTGCTACTTCTGGTCTCCAACAAGAGAGGATAGAGAAAGGGATGGGAATAATTGTTCGATAGGAACCACCTAGCTGCGTCGGCCACAGGTCAGCGGTGCTGATGTTACGTGTAATTCGTCAGTTTAGGGATGCTAGGCCGTCCAGAAAACAGTAGACGCGAAATAGATCTAATCAGAATCAGGATTCTGATTGGTGACTTGACACATGACACAAATTAATCAATTTTTCATTTTTGTATTCTCGATCTTGAATTCTAGTATTCCTTCATATCATACTTTTCTATTGTCTTTTCGAATCGTATTCCGTTCTCATTCACAGGAGTTATGTGAATGTTTCTGTTATTGGTGTTAGGGGTAATATCGAGGCATTTTCACAGGATTCACATATGCCAAAATAGTCTGGTCAGCTATAATCCTTAATATCCACAATGAAAAAATACAAAAAGAACCTTAGAAGTGAATTAAAGTTCGCTCCGTTAAACAAGGCATTAATTATCAGGTTTAATTAGTTAAGTGGATAACCCGTTGAGCATTTTAAGCAAAAAGTACTGGTTTCAAGTCTCGATTTGAACATCAACACTCGGGTGCAAGTATATCCAGCTGACAAGTCCTAGATAAGACAAAACTTGCGTTTTGGATCCCAGTGATAACCACCACTCATCTTTGATTAAAATCTATTACTAGTATTCAGTTGTTCTCATTATCAATTGCTGCAACATTATTTCGCTCTTTTGCATCTCATCTTATTGACCTAATGTGCTTTAGCAACTTGAACCAACCCAAATCGTTGACAGGTTTTACTTTGATGATAACTGATAATTTTTGGTTATCAAGTTCATTTGTACTAAATTTTCATATTCATTATTTCCAATCGTAGTATTTACATGTATATACACTATTGGATACTGTAATTATTTCTTTTTGACTTCTCAATTAGGCTGCTATGTCATTCGAACGTGTACTAAAAGATAATCCAAATAATTATGAAACTTTAAAAATACTAGGTAGTTTATATGCTCAATCTAACAAGGCAGATAAACGTACACAGTCAAAACAATTATTTAAACAAGTAAGATTATGGTAATATAGTTGTTTGTTTTCAACTGTATTTGATAATGAAATTGTTTAATCTTACTTTCTTTTCCTGGTCTTATCCAGTAAACTTATTTCACTGTACATGTTTATTATTATAATAATTATGTAATCATTTTTAATAGGTCATTTTAAAAAAAATTACTCTCGATATATAATTGACTTTACACTTTATATCATATACTGTGGTATTCTTTAAAACTATTACTTACTTACGCCTGTTACTCCTAATGGAACATAGGCCACCGACCAGCATTCTCCAGCCCACTCTGTCCTGGGCCTTCCTTTCTAATTCGATCCAATCCTTGTTCATTTGTCTCATGTCTATCTCCATTTCCCGGCGTCATGTGTTCTTTGGTCTTCCTCTTTTCCTTTGGCCTTGAGGATTCCATGTGAGGGCTTATCTTGTGATGCAGTTGGGTGCTTTCCTCAATGTGTGTCCTATCCACTTCCAGCGCTTCTTCCTACTTTTCCACTTTTAAAACTATACATTAACAAATATTCTATTTCAACAAAATATTGAATCGCATATGAATCACATTGTATGATTAATATTAAAATTAATGTAATTCATTTATGTTATTTAAAACAAAGAGAAGATACATTAGATTAAATGTTATTAAAAATGAATAATAGAACAATTATATAAAAAATAATTAAATATTACCAATTCAATCATAAAATGATTGATTCAATAAAGGAATCCTACACAACAAGTTCATTTACAAAAACTGTACAATTCTGAAAAAAAAACTAGAAAAAGAGAAAAATAAAACTAAAAACAATAGAAAAACTGATCCTATATAGACAAATTGAAATAATCATAATAAAATACAGATTTAAAAATGAATTCCATAGTATTGTGATAGTAGATATCGTTATTCGATTAAAATATATGCTGAATTTATATTGAAATGGTTGATGGATTCAACATTGAGTTATGACTAGAATACTTCTCAAGTGATATGGTTGTTGAATCAGTCTCTATATTAAAAGTCTTTGATAAGAGAATTCACTTTATCTCATGATGTCATATATATGACAAAAATGTTAGATCCATTTATAATTTGTTTTTTTTTTAGTTTACACTGTAATTAGTGTATACAAAATTTGACAAGAATGAAATTATTTCATAATAAGAAATGTGAATTGCATTCATTTAGTATTTCTTGAAACTTGTGTACAGAATTAATGTAAATAAAAAGGACATTCAAAGATGGGAAAGCGTTTATTACTTTTCTCATTTTTTAAAAAAAATATGTTGCTGAAAAACAGATTTGATTCGCTTTTGAATTGTTCAAGAATCATTCAGTTACAGTTAAATTAGCAAGTACGTAGTTCTTGCTTGAAAAATCAATCCAATATGAAATCTATTTACTATGAAAAAACCTACTGGTTTTTAGTTCTTTTCTGTCGATTTCAGGGAAGAAAGAGTCCTATTTATGACTAGTTTCTTTCGTAATTATTGATAGTTGTTCATATGACAAGGTTATCGTATTCCCCTTCACTCCGTTAGATGCCAGCTCAGTGGTTGAAATGTTAAGCATTCGCGCCCGTGACCGAAGGTCCTGGGTCCGATTCCAGTGTGTGGAATCGTGGATTTATACTGCTGAGGAGTCCCATAATAGGTCGAAACGGTCATCCAGTGCTTTCAGGTTTTCATTGGTGGTCTAACTTAGATTGGTTCATGATTCCAATGAAAGTTTTTTTGGTTTATACATTTAGGTAACTGAAAGTCAACCGGAAGATGTCGAAGCATGGATTGAATATGCTCAGTTATTAGATAACGATATTAATGGAGCTTTAGATGCTTATTCTAAAGCATTAACAATTTTAGAGAATATTCAGCTGGAAATTGCACCAGAAATTTTAAACAATATTGGTGCACTTCATTTTATAAAAGGAGAATATGATAAATCTTCTGTAAGTATGTATCACTATTATTTCTCTAAAAATGATTGTTGTCATTATTATTATTATCTGTAAAACTGCTATCTTGGAAACTGCACAAAAACAACCACCAAACAGAGTAAGGGAATCTGAACACACACATCTCTATTCTTCCTTAAACTAGGAAGTAAAGTTGAGCAAACTTACCTAATTTTAACATTCCTTCTCGATTTCGCCATCTATGGGATATTACAAACAGCTCCGAATGATGCGATTTATAGTAGTGTGGGTAAGTTACAGAAAAAGATTTAAATATTTTGTTATTTATATTATACCATTTACTGTAAGGTGATATACATGTCACCCAGTCACTTAATTAGGACCAGGAAGTACAACACACTCCCGGTACCATCAAAGTATAAAGTAGTTTTACATTATTAGCAGCAGTAACTCGTGCTTACATTTACCCCTTGTGGTGGATCATCGGGAAGAGTTGAATTATTAATATGTTTGGACTAGTGTGTTATTGTTGATAATTATTTGACAGGGAAGATCAATCATTCAGCTTGGCCTTTCTAATTATTCCCAATATTTTTACATGAATAACAGTTGAACCAAGCGTTTAGTGTGTGTATATAGAATTGGAATTTGAATCTCAGATCATGAAACTAACACAGGATTACTTTGAGCCAAAGTTTGAGCAGTGGGCAAGTCAAAACATTGTAATAACCCATAATGTCAGTGACTGCTATTTTAATCCATGTTAAATGGTGTTGATTCGTGGTTGTAGTATACTCCATAATCGTAATCCAAATTGTTACAGAGGATCGGTAATGTTACTCACAAATAAAATGAGAATGACAATATTTACTGAAAATTCTATTCACGCTTCGATTAACAGTCAAACAATTCACATTATTATTTACCACGTCACTTATTCACTCTCTTTTATTCCCACTCTGTCTATCCTTATTTTTCGACTTATACAACAGCTCGCTTTTGGTTGAAACTCGATTCTGTCTAAACGTTCTCGAGTCATTGCCTGGTTGAAAACTGTATGCTACCACAAAATGCGAATACTGAAGCAGTTTTTCTGAAACAACGTGCACCATTCAAACTGGCTGCCTTCAACGTTCACACACTTATGCAGGTCGGACAACGAATAGGGCTGGCTATGTCTTTGGAAAGTCTTAATGTCGACATTTGTTGTCTATCCTGGACCCGTATTCAAGACTCCGGTGAAGTACTACAAATTCGCTCTCCATCTGTCGCTTTGAAAAGCTTGTTTTACGTGCGTTTATCCGGGGATTCTGTGGCATCTTCGTATGGTCTTGCTGGCATTGGTGTCGCACTAAGCGCTAGAGCTGAGGCAGCACTAATCGATTGGATCCCCATTAACGGTCGGTTATGTGCTGTTAGATTAGAAAGTTCCATCAAAGTGAGGAGAAATCGGCGTGAGAAACGATGTCTTTTCGTCATCTCCGCCTATGCCTCGACAGATGGCAGCCCGGATGTAATCAAGGATGAATTCTACCACTAGTTAACTGTTCTGCTCTAGAAAATGCGTTCGACAGATATTGTAGTACTAGCCGGAGACTTGAATGCTCAGGTCGGGCGTCTAGGCACAGAAGAGAGTCGTTTAGGTGACCGATGGGGACTTGTTGGTCGCAGGACAGATAACAGGGACGGGGACCGTCTACTGCAACTGTCAATCAGTCAGTCAGCTACAACGTAGGACCAGGCACATATATACATCGGTCCAAGTTGTCATAACTCATTAACACAACAAGATGGACACCGGATTCATAAAAGGATAAATAACGGGGACGGGGACCGTCTACTGCAACTGTGCACAGACCACAACCTGTTTCTGACTAGCACTAACTTTCGGCACAGTCATCGCCGATGTGTCACCTGGTGTCCTCCCTCTGCATCTCAAGCCTGGACTCAAATTGATCACATCGCGATCAGTTACCGCTGGCGTGGTTGTGTACAAGACTGCCACTCCTTTTGGAGTACCTATCTGGACTCTGACCATGCCCTGCTCTGCGCCAATCTTGCCTTACTTTTCAGTGGTCAACGAAGTGACTACCACCAACGGATTGATATTAGCAAGCTGGTTGCAACTTCTGTTGCTAGTAAGTACCGAACCGAGCTAGCTTCTAGGCCAGCTACCATTCCACCGAAAAGTATAGATGAGCATTGGTTGCAACTTCATGACGCCATGGAAATGGCAAGTAAAGCCGCTTGCGGCTTCACAAAACGTCCTGCTTATAAGCACTGGGTTTCTTCTGGTTCCTTACAACTCATTGAAGCCCGTCGATCTACTCTGGGTGACCGTGAGTTTGACCACAAACGAAGGCTGTTACGTAATGAAATCGGGCAAAGCTTGCTTAAGGACCGAGAAGTCTGGTGGTCGGAGCGTGCTAATGAGCTGGAAGCAGAAGCTGCATCTGGTAACTGCCGGAAGCTCTTCCAATTCATCTGAGCCACTGGCAGCAAGAAGTCTGGTGTGAGCGAAACAATCTGCGAGGATGATGGGATGCCAATCACTAACATCCATCGGCGTCATGAACGATGGGCAGAACTCTTCGAAGGGCAGTTCGACTGGCCTGCTGCTCCGGCAACATCGGTCAGACTGTCCTGCCCTCCATGGCCGGTGACGACTGATCCACCAAATGAGGCGGAAGTCCGCAGGGAACTCCAACTCTTGAAGCGCTACAAATCACCTGACCCAGATGACTTACCTTCGGCTCTTTCTAAAGATTATGACTTTCTGGCTAAGGAACTGACTGTGTTGTTTACAAAGGTCTGGGAACTAGAGAGTGTACCAACGTCATGGGATGAGTCGATAGTTGTCCCTATCTTTAAAAAGGGTTCACGTCGTTCCTGTAACAACTATCGGGGGATAAGTCTACTTCCGATTGCGTCCAAGCTACTGGCTTCCATCATACTTCGTGGGTTGTTGAAAACTCGAGAAAGATTGACTCGCGAGGAGCAGGCTGGGTTTCGTTCTGGCCAAATCTTAGAACACCGTCACACTTATCAAAGGTCAACAATCGTGGTGTTTCTTGACATCAGGGCTGCCTTCGATTCGTTGGATAGGACTGTTCTCTGAGATTGTCTATCGAAGAAGGGTGTGCCTGAGAAGTTTATTAACATCCTAAAGCCCTATATACAAACACATCAGGCAGAGTGAGGGCATACAACCACCTCTCTCCATTGTTCCATTCGAGCAGTGGGGTTAGGCAAGGTTGCCCAATCTCACCAAGTTCGTGTATCTAGGTAGCTGCATAAGTGCTGGTGGTGGCGTGAGTGATAAGATCAATGCACGTATAGTGAAAGCCAGAGCGGCTTATGCCAATCTGGGCCATCTTTGGCGCCTTCGTGATGTTAGTCTGTCTGTAAAAGATCGGATCTACAACGCGTCGGTGAGAGCAGTTTTGCTCTATGCTTGTGAAACCTGGCCTCTCCGAGTTGAGGACGTTAGACGACTCTCTGTGTTCGATCATCGTTGTCTTCGAAGGATTGCTGACATTCAGTGGCAAAACCATGTCAGTAATGCTGAGGTTCGGCATCGTGCGTTCGGGTGCAGAGACGATAATTCAATTGGTGTCACCATCTTGAAACATTGACTTCGATGGCTTGGACATGTTCTCCGAATGTCGTCCCAGAGAATTCCACGTCGTGCATTATTTGCCGACTCTGGGATAGGTTGGAAGAAGCGGAGAGGTGGTCAGTGCATGACATGTTGTCGTGGTATGAAAGAAAGCTGCAAAGGACTGGCCTGTGTTGGTTCTTCACGACTCCCTGGTTGGGGTCCGAGAGATGGTGCTACACAGTGGCTAGAGACGACGTTATCAGATATGGCCCAGAATAGGAGCCAGTGGTGATCCTGCTGTAACCTTTTACTTTCTTCATAAAAAGTGGTTGTATCTTCCTTAACTGAAAGATTTCTTCTGGTTGTACCTTCCCGTTCCCTCGATTATTATTATTATTATTATTATTATTATTATTATTATTATTATTATTATTATTATTATTATTATTATTACATTACCTTACACTAATCTGGTCGTTATTGTTCTTTTTTACGCTCCTTACCTTTTTTTCTCTTCTCATTCTCATTGTTTTGTGTGGCGCATATATATTTGGTGTCCCATTGTACCAATATTTATGTGTTTAAATAAATAAATAAATGAAAATAATAATGTTACTCACCGTTTACTACTGGGTTACTTTCATAAAATCATTCTATCTAGTTTACGCCTTTGATTTTCTATCCGGTCGTAATGGAGCCGTCCATTTCCAACTTTATTTATTGTAGTTCGTTATACGCTGAAACAACTCTTAATATCTTTGGAATTATTCTTGTTTAAAATTGGTCATTTGGTATCTTTTAGATGCTTTTCATACACATGTTTGATATAGCATGGTTCTTGCATTTCCATGTTATATTCATGCGTTGGAATTAGTAACAATAGGGCAGATGGAACTATTCCTTTCCCCCTGGCTCAAGACGTTGGCTGATATAGGAGTAGGTTGGAAGCAAACTAGAGGCTCTTAAATCGAGATATGACATCAGTTTATGAAGTCATTGACTGTTGGACTGAGCTATGTGAGTAGATTCACACTACCAGGTTGAGGTCCGTATGATTATCGTAATCAATAGTTAACGACTTTGGTAAAATGGCTTAGAATCGTTTACAGAGGTGCAAGTGCATTTATCTCCTCTCAAAGCCTGAATTTTAAAATCATTTTACATCTTTTTTCTTGCATGAATTCATTCTCAGATCATATTATTTTTTCTACTAACTGTTCTACTACTCTGAGATTTGTCTTGATAATTTCATATCTCTGTGCTGACACGGTGTGAAAACTTCAAATGATTCGTATATGTACCTTGTTCTACATTGTGGATGACTGACTGATCGACTATCTGGTCGCCCTCCTTCCTACACCTAGATATTGAGTTTTAATATTATTTTAATCTTTTCCATGAATCCATCCCTTTTTTTCGAATCATTTTTTCCAGCTTAAGTCTTTCTCACCATCATAATCTCTGCCATTTATTCAATTTCTTTGCTTATGGACGTTGTCGATTATATCTCTCCTTTCGGTGATATCGTCTGAAAATTCGAGCCTATGCATGTTTTTACTAACTCGTACACTGTTTTAACTAATTCTTTGACTGACCCATGCATCATTATGCATAATTTTACATTTTCATGTAGGAATTTTTCACACGGTCATATGACCGTATTCTTGAAGAGCAAAGAAATGAAGAGAATGAATGCGGTGGAGATAGTTCTGGATTAACTAACGATGACTACTATCATGGATTAAGTATTACAGTTCGTTACAATCAAGCAAGACTTCATGAAGCTCAAGGTAGATCAGATTTAGCTGAAGAAATTTATAAGAGTATTCTACTACGACATCCAAGTTATATTGAGTGTAAGTTTTTGATGTGACAAGATTTCCTTGAAATTTTTACTTTTTTAAACTTTGTATGAAGCTGTTGAGAGAGTTGAGTGAAAAGTGATATTTCATTTCATTTATCTAAACACATAGACACGGGTACAAAGGGACACCAAAATATATATGCGTCACACAAAGTAGTTATCGTTCAATGTGTGTAGGGACTGTTCGGGTGCCTAAACCAAAACAAGTGATTTTCTAAGGGGGCCATCCCCCCATCCTCTGACCTATAAATCTAATCCATAAGAGAATAGAGCAATGTTAAGAGATGCAGTTCCATGGTAGCCGGTGACCAACAAAGGTTCATACACCATTGGCTAGGGTTTTCTAACTCTTGTAGGTGGATCCTTAGCATTCATCAACCCGGTTAAAGCACCGGACATTCGCTTTTCATCCTTTCAATTTCGTAAACAAAATGTGGTGCGTGCTACTTATATTGACATAAGTAGTATACAACGCGAGTCAGGAATGTAATGTCTGGTAGCAGAAGATTAGGAAGATCAAGAAAGGAAGAACAGGAATAGAAAGCAATTAGTATGGAAATGCAAGAACAATGAAGTCCGATACAATTATTGAACATTTTGCAAATTAATTGTTATAGTATGGTTTTTCTATTTTACCAAGTTACTATGTAATGGTATGCTAGAAATAATCCGGTTGTCCTCATCTGTGTTCTCCTTCACTACAAACATGCCTGCCGCGAGAAGGCAATGAGTAGGACTCCCCTGGCAGTGGCTGTATACGAGTGGCCATTTGAGAGCGTTTCGAGAGGGATAGCTGACTCTCCCCACCATTGACATCTGGGGAGCAAATATCCTAAACTTGTGCAGCTATCTTCTCATCAGAGCTAGTTCTTTTTAAAAATAATTTGTAGAAGTAAGTAACTAATTGGGTAACTTTGTGATCTTCATCTTCATTCTGGACTAGTAGTTTATTTATTTTACGTAAACTACGTTAATCATACTATCTTGGTTGAATAATTTTTGTGCACCAACAATCCTGTGTTGTTCCTCAGTATATATTCAGTCAAATAGTGATTATGTCTATCATAAGTTTCTTTATTGTGGGATCTGTTAATTGTATTAGTTACAAAGTTATTATGACTGCCATTTTATCATTGTCTAATGTGATCATTGCATCATTAAAGCGTTAAACAAGTAATTCATCTACTGTAATCTGGGCAATCACATGGTTTTGTATCACTAGCTTCTAAGCGTTAAATGTTTCACGCAATTTATAATACAATTATCTAGATGGTGATTTGTACCATTAGATATTGAAAATAGTTTTCTGTATAAGAAAAAAATATCAATTGCGAAATCACTGAAAGCTACTGATCATTAGACAAATGTTCCGTCATGGTTTACACCTACTTCTGTAGCATACAATCATACTCAAAGTATCAAGGCCGGATTTATATTAGTTATGGTCCTTTTTAAACTTTATTTAAGTGTATAATACAACCATTCAGTGTCATCGGTGTGTATCGTTTAATTTGGATGATGATTAAGACCTCAAACTATTCTTTAGAAAATTTATTTCGGAATTATCCCACTACTACTATTTGGTTTTCGGCGATTATCTACTCGACAGTGTAAATTTATGACAAAAACAACCTCATTTTTAATTAATCCCTTGCAAAACACTAGAATTAGTAAGTTGATCACTTCCCAAGAAGTAGTAGAACATCCTTAGCTCAGTGGATAACACTTTGGTGTTTGAAGCGAACAGCACTGAGTTTGGGTCTCGGTGCGAGTATCAACACAGATGGAGGTGAATCCAGCTTAAAAGTCCCAAATAAAATGAAACACATCCTGAATCCCACTACTGGCCTCATATTGATCAACTTTATTATGACAACTGAGCCCAAATCAAATAACCTATAAATTTTCACTTGTAATCAGTTTCTTACTTACTTACTTATGCCTGTTACTCCTCGTGAAGGAGCATAGGCCGCTCACCAGCATTCTCCATCCAACCCTGTCCTGGGCAATCCTTTCTAGCTCCGTCCAGTTGTAATTCATCCTTTTCATATCTGCTTCTATTATCCGACGCAATGTGTTCTTTGGCCTTCCTCTTTTTCGCTTCCCTTCAGGATTCCAAGTTAGGGCTTGCCTCGTGATGCAGTTCGACGATTTGCGTAATGTATGTCCTATCCATTTCCATCGTCTTTTCCTAATTTCTTCTTCAGCTGGAAGTTGGTTTGTTCTCTCCCACAGAAGGCTATTGCTGATGGTATCCGGCCAATGGATGTTGAGTATCTTGCGTAGACAGTTATTTATAAATACTTGTACTTTCTTGATTGTGGTTGTTGTAGTTCTCCAAGTATCAGCTCCATACAGTAGAACTGCCTTGACGTTCGTATTGAAGATTCTTACTTTGATATTGGTTGAAAGTTGTTTTGAGTTCCATATGTTCTTCAATTGTAGGAAAGCGGCCCTTGCTTTGCCGATCCTCGCCTTTACGTCTGCATCGGATCCTCCTTGTTCATCGATGATGCTTCCCAGGTATGTGAAGGACTCTACATCTTCCAGAGTTTCACCATCAAGTGTGATTGGATTGCTGTTCTCCGCTTTGAATTTGAGGACCTTAGTTTTCCCTTTGTGTATGCTGAGGCCTACTGATGCAGAGACTGCTGCTACACTGGCTGTCTTTATCTGCATCTGTTCGTGTGTACGTGATAGGAGGGCTAGGTCATCTGCGAAGTCCAAATCTTCTAATTGGTTCTGAGCTGTCCATTGTATTCCGTGTTTTCCTTCAGATGTTGAGGTCTTCATAATCCAGTCGACCACCAGAAGAAAGAGGAAGGGAGAGAGTAAACAGCCTTGTCTGACTCCGGTCCTTACTTGGAATCCATCTGTCAGCTGTCCTCCATGCACTACTTTGCACTGTAGTCCATCGTATGAGTTCCGGATAATATTGACAATCTTCTGAGGAACTCCGTAGTGTCGAAGAAGTTTCCATAATGTTTTCCTATCTACACTGTCGAATGCCTTTTCATAATCAATGAAGTTGATGTATAGTGATGAGTTCCACTCAACTGATTGTTCGACGATGGTCCGTAGTGTTGCAATTTGATCTGTGCACGACCGATCCTTACGGAATCAAGCTTGTTGATCTCGAAGTTAGGCGTCTACTGCATCCTTCATCCGGTTCAGCAACAATCTGTTGAAGACTTTCCCTGGTATTGACAGTAGTGTAATGCCTCTGTAGTTTTCACATTTGCTCAGATCTCCTTTCTTTGGAATCTTGACGAGGTGTCCTTCTTTCCAGTCCATCGGCACTTGTTCCTCCTCCCAAATCTTTTTGAATAGAAGATAAAGCATGCTTGTGGTTGCTTCGATGTCTGATTTCAGTGCTTCAGCTGGTATGTTGTCGGGTCCCGCTGCTTTCCCGGTCTTGATTTGTCTGACGGCCATTCTAATTTCTTCCGTAGTTGGTGGATTGACATCTATAGGAAGATCTATGTGTGCTGCTTCGATGTTCGGTGGATTCATTGGAGCCGGTCTATTCAGGAGCTCTTCGAAGTATTCTACCCATCTGTTACGCTGTTGTTGAATTTCGGTGATTGGCTTGCCTTCTTTGTCTTTGACCGGCCTCTCTGGTTTACTGTATTTCCCTGATAGTTTCTTCGTTGTATCGTAAAGCTGTTTCATATTTCCTTCTCTAGCAGCTTTTTCTGCCGTCGTTGCTAGTTCTTCCACGTATTTCTTCTTGTCGGCTCTAATGCTCCTCTTCACTTGTTTGTTTGCTTCTATGTATTCAGCTTGTGCTTGGACTTTCTCTGCTCGTGTTCGGCTGTTGTTAATTGCTGCCTTCTTGTTCTTCCTTTCTTTGATCTTGTCCAATGTTTCTGTAGAGATCCATTCCTTATGATGGTATTTCCTTAGACCCAGAACCTCTTGACACGTTGAAGTTAATGCTTCCTTGATGCCTTTCCAGTTGTCCTCCATAGTAGTTTCTTCTTTCTTCAGTAGATCCTGTAAGGGTTGGAACCTGTTGTTGAGAGCTATCTTGAATTCATTGAGTTTGACAGTATCTCGAAGGAAGGCTGTATTGAACCTTTGTATTGCTGTTTGTCCACTTGTCCAGTTCTTTTTTAGCTTCAGTTTCAAATTGGCTACAACTAGGTGGTGATCTGAAGCTACGTCAGCACCTCTCCTGGTTCTCACATCTTCCATTGTCCTTCGGAATTTTTTGTTGATGCAAATATGATCTATTTGGTTCTCTATAGTGTGGTCCGGTGAGATCCATGTAGCCTTGTGTATACGCTTGTGTGGAAATATTGTGCCTCCTATGACCAATTTGTTGAATGCACATAGATTTGCAAATCTTTCTCCATTTTCGTTTCTTTCTCCCAGTCCATGTCGTCCCATAATATCTTCATATCCAGTGTTGTCTATTCCGACTTTGGCATTTAGATCTCCCATCAGAATAGTTAGGTCCTTCCTTGGGCATTTCTCAATGATTGACTGCAGCCGCTCGTAGAACTGATCTTTAATTTCGTCGTTGCTATCATTGGTGGGTGCATAACATTGGATAATATTCATTAAGATCCCCTCCTTCTTTGTTTTGAATGATGCTTTGATGATTCTGGACCCGTGAGATTCCCATCCTACAAGTGCATTTCGTGCTACTTTGGACAGCATAAGAGCGACTCCCTGAGTGTGTGGAGCATTGTCCTCTTCGTGACCGGAGTATAGCGGCATCTCTCCCGTAGCTAGCCTTTTCTGTCCAGTTTGGGTCCAGTGGGTTTCGCTGATTCCCAGTACTGCTAAGTTGTATCTCCTCATTTCCATTGCTATTTGACTGGTCTTCCCGGTCTCCCACATTGTTCGAACGTTCCATGTACCTATAAAAATTTTTGCTCTGGTTGTTAGAAGGGGCATCGGCCTCGTGGCTTCCGAAGGAACTCGGCTTTCACCATGAAGCGTCATAATTCTTCTAAATGAAGACCTTCTAACTCCCAGGGCAGAGTTAAAATGGTTTGGATTATTTTTTCTGGTAAGCGTTTTTTTAGCGAGTTAGTTTTCTACGGGATGGGGACGCTAACTCCATGCCCAACCCTCCTCCTTTACCCGGGCTTGGGACCGGCAGCAACCCTATAAGAGCTACAGGCGGAGTTGTAATCAGTTTCGCTATCTCATAAAAAATTCATGTCTTGATTCAAGGTGTGTATGATAACTCGGGCAGTTACACACTTCATACCAGGTCGGGGTCCTCTTAATTATCGTAACTGATGGTTAAATTTGGTGGCTAACATATCTTAGAATCAGTCACAATGGCGCAAATGCATTGACGCTTTGTCTTTATTTCTTGAGTTTTTAACTTATACTTTTTTCCATAAATTTTTTCTTCTCGAATTACATTGTCTATGACTAATCTTTCCTACAACCAATTATACTGATAATATTGCTACTCTAAATATACTAAGAATTATCTTGATATTTCATCTTGTTGTGCTGTGACAACTTGAAACAATTCATCTGTCTCATATTCTACATTGTTCATGATTGAATACTAGAGTCAGGTGTTGCGTTATTTATGACGGACTAATTTTATTTTTACTTAATTCAATGGGAATTAGAATTGATTGTGGATATTGTAATTATTGTTTAAAATCATAGTAATAAATAATAAACAAATATGGAATAAAATTCTACTTTCTCCCCTTTAACAAACATGTAATCAATAACCAGGTTACCTTCGTTTGGGTTGTATTGCACGTGATCGAGGACAGATTCGTGATGCTTCAATTTGGTTCAAAGAAGCTTTAGATGTAGATCAAGTAAGTAATTATTTGTTTCATTTATTTCCATTTTTATAGAGTATTCAGGTGGTAAAACGAAGATGTTGTTTGTTAGACGTGAATAACTTTGACTATCGCTTAGTGTTAGTAGCTTTTTAGAATTATTCAGTGTTAGTTTATTCTGAGATGATTTCATTTATTGCATAGACTCCTAGTTAATTTTCATTTAAGCTATTTTAAATTCCTATTGAACTGAGCCTACTTGTTCAGTAAACGAACCTCTCAAAATAAATCGAAGTGAGTTGCTGTTTCTCACAATTCGGATAGATATCGGATTATTACAATTCACAATTAAATGATTTGATAATTAAAAACCCGGTGTGAATGACTCAGATCTATTGAACGTAAAGGTTGACTGAGATGAAAAGTTGTTCTATCAGTAAGTCTGATCATTTAATACACTCCATATATGCCTAACCATTACAGAGTTTATCCAAGATTATTGAAGTGACGACTACCTAACAAAAATATCAATCGTTTCTAAGCTTCGTTGTCTGAATATATCATATATCTTATTCAGGGAGTCATTTAAAAAGTAACATCGTTTTAAAACACAATTGTATGAACGAAGAATATTCTTTTCAATAATTTCTCATCAGGTTCTACAATTATCTCATATCCAAATTAATAGTCCATAAAATCGGCCAGATTTAAAGCAGAGTATATCATTTGGAAATTGTAATATGTGAATCAGGAATTGTTTGTTATATAAATAAAATCGTTAGTGTTGGAATGGCTAATATGAAGTGTTAACTTGAATCAGTTTATAAGCGAAATAAAATTGTGAGATAAATTATCAGAATAAATATGGTCAACATGGGGTAAGAGAGAGAGAATATTGTGATTACGGATATCCAATTTGAAAACCTAAATCGCCAGACATCAGATCTAGTCCCGATCTCTGATCAGGAACTTGAACGTTTCAAATCAAACCTAGTTGACTGTTGCTATCAGTTTAAGAATAGTAGATATAACTACAGAAGTATTTTAACTAAGAAACACAGGGAGGCTATCATGGAACTCATTACTGATGAGAATCTGATTATCACAAAACTCGATAAAGGAACAGGAACCGTCTTACTTAACAAAAAAGATTACATTGACAAGATTAATAACATCTTGAATGATCTTCAAAAATTTCAGAAACTGAATAACCAAAAGGATGTCAATAATAAGATAGAGAATGAACTGACCCAAACATTAAAAAAGCTCAGAGATCAACAGATGATTACCAAAGACGTATACGAAACAATTAAGCCGATAGGTACACATTTAACCAGGTTATACGGACTGCCAAAGATACATAAACCAGATATCCCATTAAGGCCAATTTTGGACATGTGCGATTCCCCATATCATACAGTATCAAAGTGGCTGGTAACTGTTTTGAAACCACTCCATAATCGCCTGATGAAACATAGTATTAAGGACGTATTCCAATTCGTTGACAGGATTAAAAACATAAACACGAAAGATCAGACGATGATTTCCTTTGGTCACTCGTATACAGCCACTTCCAGGGAAGTTCTACTCACTGCCTTCTCGCGGCAGGGGTGTTATTTACGAAATTGAGAGGACGAAAAGCGAATGTCTGGTGCTTTAATCGGGTTGGTGGATAGAGAAGATCCACCCAGGGGAGTTGGGAAACCCTGGCTCCAAATAAGTCATGCATATGGGCTCCAGGATACTAAGGGAACATAAGATGTGTCAGCCTATTATTGGTCACCGGCTACCATGGGACTGCATCTCTTAACGTTGCTCCACTGCTTTGTGGATTAGACCTCTGGGTCAAAGGTTCGGGGAGTGGCCCCCTTGGAAAACACCTGCTTCTATTTGGGTGCCAGGTCACTATCCCAACCCTCACACAAATCAAAAGATTTGAGTGGTGCATATATTTTAGGTGCCTCCTTGTACCTATGTTTATGTGTTTAAATAAAATAAACACAGCATTACTAGTATTGTAATGTCTTTTGAAATGAAAAACACAAAGTTCATGTTTTAATCTAAAAATGAATAATAAGGTATAGAGTTATTCAAATGAGTCCCAATTAAGAAGAAATACTCGCTGTGGATTATACTGCTCTAACCTCATACTAAATATGTCAAAAATTGATCCTGCCTATTCATTTTACTATGTTTACATAACTATGCAATGCATTTAGATATTATATTATGACTGTTTACTGATCTTATCGGATTCCGAAGATAGACGAACTTAATGAATTTGACTGATTGTCATGTCTCATAATTAAGTTATATAATTCTTTTGACGTTTGGTTTTTTACCTTTAGTAGCATTTGTTTTCCCATTTAACTTGCCTGTAACTAATTGTTTCATTTTTTTGAATAATCTGCTTTACATACATTCCATCTAGGATAATCCAGACGCTTGGACACTGATTGGATTATTACACTTAAATAAAAATGAAGTTGAACAAGCCCAGAAGAAATTTGATCGGATTATTAGACAGCCAGCGTATAGAGCAGATGCATTTGCACGTATATGTTTAGGGAATATTTGGTTAACTACTCTACATCATCCTATCAAAGATAAAGATAAACGTAAAAGGCATCAGGTAGAGTTCCATGATTTTCTTGTGTGTTTCTTTCTTCCTTTTGTGTTTTTGTCATTGTGGAGATTTTAATTATTCTAAGATTTGATTGTAAACTGACTGATATTATGTTGAAAATCATTGAAAGCTTAGCTAGGGAACAACTACTTTGTCATATTATGAAGTTGTTCAGCTCTATGCCCACAAGAGAATGAAAACAAGATCTTCGAGCTTCACAGCGAGCGCGTTATCCTTGAACCACTGAATTGGTGACATCCTGTGATTCATATTTCCAATTTTATTCCTTAGGTTGTGGGTGAGTGCACAGCTCTGAAGAGTCCTGTATTACGACAAACACCTCGTTCTATTCCCTAGATTTCTGTAGTTAATAATAGTAATATTAGATTTATTCAATACTAAAAGTTTTGCTAGAATAAAGAATTTTCGGCACAAATTGTGCCACATTGTAACAAATATTTCTTTAACATTCATTCGAATTGTGATTATTCAAAACATATTTTGTAAGCGTTTTTAAAAGTTAGAGTCTGCCAACTGTATTCAATCACTAAATTTTATAACCAGTTCAGCTACTACACTCACGTTCTCTATCAAGCATATATACGGTACTTGAATCCCAACATATCTGTTTGTCGTTTTGTCAAAAGATAAATCAAAAAAAGACTGTGATGTTTCCGTCTGAGTTTTTCAGTATTTAGCTTCACAATGATTTGTAATCCTTACATAAGATAACACGTAATTACATACAGTTGTCATTCATAATTATTCAATTCGAAAAAATATAAAACAGGTAGGTGAATCGCAATATTTGCACAGTTGTGACATAACTTATTGTCAAGTTAAAAAATCTCCACAAACTTCTGACGCTAATAATCCAAAGCCACCTGTTAAACAAGTTTGTTACTATCTGAACTCAGTCAGTAGCTTAGTGGATAATGCGTCGCTTTTTGAAACGAATTCTACTGTGTTCGAGTTTTAAAGTGAATATAAACACTGAGATGTAACTACATACAGTCGTTAATTGCTGAATGGGGCGAGATTCTCATCCTAGATTCCATTGCTAGGCACAATTCACCTCTTCAATAGAAATCTCATGCTAATTGTGTAAGATTGTTAATGAATCGTAACAAAGCAACAATGTCCAATAATAGTGATAATAATAATAATGTGTTATATATTCAAATTAACAGTAGTTTCATTGAATTCATGAAACAATCAGTGTTAGAACACTGTTGAAAACCTGGAAGCATTGGACAGCCGTTCCGTTCCACCATGGGACTCCTCGGAAGGGTGTATTCACAAATCCACACTCGAGAACCGAATCCTAAAACCTTTGGTTTCGCGTGTGTTGCCCGTTCACCTTTGTTGACTTGTTAAATAATATTGAAGAACAAACCAGGAGCCAATGTATAATAAAATTCAGTCCCCAACTAAGAAATTATATATATATATATATATATATATATATATATATATATATATATATATATATATATATATATATATATTACTGGGAAGAATGCATTTGTTTTCGACCATTTAGTTTTACATCGAAAACTGTGCAATCGTATTTATCCAAGATAATCAATGTGGAAAATTATTTGGACGGTTTTGTATAATTGACTTGAAGCTTATATGCAAACACCAGTGTCAAATTGGAGTCTTTGCAAAGGAAATTCATGCTAGTTTACGAATTATTTATTAAAACTTTTCTACATATTGCGACAAACTTTTCATCATGTGCTTACTAGTGACTAATTTCCTGAATCCTATTGAGAAACCGTGACTAGTGGATTTCAACCGCATCGAATGTGAAGTATTTACTGGCGAAAAAGAATGAGTAATAGTTGTAAAGCACCTACTGATTAACCTGAAGACCCTGAGTTTGTGTATATAAACTTCTGGAAAGTCTCGTACTAGGACAAAGCGACGGTCTAGGGTTCTTTGTTTCTCAGTGATTATCCAAAGTAGGTCGGTTCACGAAATCAGATGATCATTAAAACAATTCAATTTAGTACATATATCACAGAACACGTCCTAGTGTACATGTTGTTGACATATTCAGAAACGCGTTTCATTCTATATTGTAAACCAATTTTCTACCTCTATTTAAATTCATTCGTTGTGGAAACACAATGGTACATTATTTTAAATATTTCCTACATAGCTTTGATTATAACTGCTTTTTACCCATAATTTTGAACTTGTCAGTTGTATGTAATTGATAAAATTTTACCATGACAGACAAATATATCCTACAGTGTAGTGCCCACCCATCGCCTACCTTGTCGGGCGATGCTTACCTGGTGTAAGAGTTATTTGGAATTACGCTAGGGCCGATTAAATCAAAACATAGAGTCAGTTTATAAAGTCAGTGACCGTTAGACTGAGCCGTGTAGATAGGTTCAGACTACTAGGTTGATGTCCGTGTGATTATCTTTACCATTGGATGATAATACACAAAATCATTCTTAATGGCGCAGATGCATTTACTCTGTCTCTCCATAAGGCCTGGATTCCTTGATTATTTTGAAAGTTTATCTATCCCATCTATTCAGATTTTCTGAATCTAATCTTTCCAGGTTTCATTAATATTAATACTTATCACTACTTTGGCATCTTGCTGTGTTGATATAGTGTTACAACTCATTTGCCAGATTCTACGTTGCATATGACTGTATGTAATGTTCCATCTACCCCTCCCATACACTCCGTGATCCATAATGCTACAGTTTAAAAACAGCTTGTAAGGAATATATGAATACAATTTAAAACTCTAATAAAAGTAAATAAAGGAAGATAGTAAACAAACCAATAGAAATAATAAATGATATCGAAAAGATAACATTCTTCGAATAAATTTGCATCACTAGAAAATTGTCGGCTAATAAATATCACCGTTTACAATAAGCGAAAAAGCAAACAGATTTATCCAGTAGCTCATTCTAACCTTAATAACTTACCTTGTACTGTTTATATTGTTACCTATTATAATGATTCTTTTTTTAAAAAAAATTTTTATTTCTTTTAATCAATACAGGATCGTGCATTATCTTTCTATAAAGCTGTTCTATGCGCTGATCCTAGAAATATATGGGCTGCACATGGTATTGGTTGTGTATTAGCACATAAAGGATTTGTTAATGAAGCTAGAGATGTATTTGCACAAGTTCGTGAGGCAACGGCTGATTTCCCAGATGTTTGGATTAATATAGCACATATTTATGTTGAACAAAAACAATACACTGCTGCAATTCAAATGGTGTGTAATTTATAAAATTGTCATTTTGTTTTGCTCTTTTTTTTCTTGTTATCATTATTGTCATATTCATGTAATGAATATTTATAGTTTAATGGCTGTTTCTATTTAAACTCTTGTTAATCTATCCATATTTTTATTTATATTGACTTTCATTGTTTGTTTTTTAAAAATGTAGTATGAAAATTGTATTAAGAAATTCTCTCGACAGAATAATACAGAATTGTTACAATATTTGGCTAGAGCACATTTTAAAGCTGGTCAGTTGAAAGAGTGTAAAACTATGCTATTAAAGGTAACTATAATTGTTAAGTATATTCTCTTTGTCTGTTTTATTTTTAGTTGTTGTTGTTTTATTACTGCAAAACTATGATTCTATCTGTTGTCCACAAACATTTGTCCTTTTTCACAATGATATGACATAACTTTCTATTATTTCTTTAAAAGCTTTACTAATATAAGTAATTAATTCACAAGTGTCACTTGATATATACTCACTTGCAATTTTATTAGGTGTTAGTCAGACTTCCTAGTTTGTGCGACCAATTAATTTAGTTAATGGGAAAGCAAACTATAAATAAGGTTTAACGGTTTAGATTATTTACATTGTTTATTATTTTTAACCTAAGATAGCAGCAGTGCATATTACTGGGAAAGGAATTATTATCGAACTGTTCATCAAATGATGGTTGCGTAATACTTGTATAACTTTGTTTATGGAATAACTGATGAAACTATCGCATATCGTACTGAATAACTTCGAACATAACTGTCATTACCTTGGTGTGAAATACGCGTTATATAGGCTGTGACAGGTTGTGTCGATGGGGAGATGTTTCCTTCGGATAACTAGCATTTGTAGTGATACTACCTTTCCACACCAGGAGGTCGATAAATGTGAGTCCTAAAAATACCACGCGAATTTCCGTCTTCGATGGTGAGACTTTTAAAGTGCGAAACCAACATATCACGGACTATTCACAAAAAGCTGTGGATGGCCGTCATCAGTCGGTTATTCGTTGGGCTCTACGATCACGATGTTAAGGTTGTCAAGACCGTCCTAACTCAGTTTCCCTCAAGTATCTTCTCATAATGTGAATACTAAGTGAGCGACAACCGCCTCTAACAACACTCAAGTTAATCTTAATTGATATTAACTACCAAAGACATATACTCAATGTGACGTTCGGATCATAGTTGAAATCGTCGATACTATTAGCTGTACTGAAAACAGAAGGCATAGTAGAAAGATTAGGAAGAACTCAGAATAATTTTTTATAATTTTGCGGTTTATTAGACTTTTTTACTAGTTTACTTTGCTTCTCCAATAGTTTTCCAACCTCTTTCCTTGGACAATGAAAGTGGTAGGATTTTCACCTCTTCCATACTTGTCCATCAAGCTAATTCAAATATTGAATACATTTATTAACGACACTTCAATTAGAGTCAAATTAACATATAAATACAATAGCAATGTCCTTAACAATATAACAATAAATTAGCAAATTACAAAAAAAACGAAGCACCAATAACTGAAAAGCATGTTCGACTTCAATGAATGAAGAACTCGTAACGTGTAGAATTTTGACGACGTTAAGCTTAAATTAAAAACTATAATGCAAGTAAATAACTAGATATTGAATAATACAACCAGTTCTCAAGTGTAGTTACTAATCCTTATCATTACTACAAAATGACTAATCTCTGCCTAAGAATGCATTATTTTCATGTCATGTAAAAATAACATTTATTCTATTTAAAATGTGATAGGCTCGTCATGTTAAACCATGGGATCCTGTATTAACATTCAATTTGGCTTTTGTTCAAAAAAGATTGGCTGTTACTGTGCTACAAGATGAGACAAGTAGTTTTTCATCTGTTTGTGAAGCAATAGCTGATTTAAATATGGCCAGATGGTAGGTGGAAATTGCTGTAGAGCACCCTGTTTTTTTTAAATACTATAATCTTTTTTCATGACATCAGGCTATGACTATGCCCAATGTCAGCTCATAGTATGCTATATCATGAATAGGGTGAATATGAATTGTTCCAATTAAAAACGAAATGAATTAAAACAATATTGACAAGAAATAAATAAAGAATGCGTAGTCATCCATTTAATAGTTGGTGCATAATCAAGAACAGGACCTAATATAAATGCAGATAGACAGTTTAATTAAGAAAATAATCCGGTTTACAATATTGACTTTCAAATATTTCTGATCTAGGATTTTTTGTTTCCCCAAACTATTCAGTACGAAGCGTAAAGTAGACCAACTTTCACCACATTCGACTTTTTTGATGACATAAATCACCTTTATTAAAATAGTGAATATTTTTTCCCACCAGTTCAATGTTTAAAACTACAGGTTTCTGCACATATTCAAAAATCTCATAACAATTATATTGTTTAAAGTGGTAAACTTTCTGTATAAAACTGTGAATATATTGAAGTCTGAAGATATGTTTGAATTTCTAAATAGATTTTAATCAAATACACTGAGCTGGATGGTTTGGTCGCAGAGCTTTCGTCGTCCTTCGGAACGACATCATCAGCACAAAATTCATATACAAGTGAAGCGTTCGAATTTCTCGACATGTAGTTCACAGCTTGTCCTGTAGACCTCGATGTTGATTGGTCTACAGGACAAGCTGTGAACTACATGTCGAGAAATTCGAACGCTTCACTTGTATCTGAATTTTGTGCTGATGATGTCGTTCCGAAGGACGATGAAAGCTCTGCGACCAAACCATCCAGCTCAGAGAACAAAACCTCATCAAAATCATCCATCTGAGCTACAAATCTTCTCCACCATCTTGAATCAGATACATTTCAGATTTCTCTTGACACTAATCACATAGTCTTAACTCCAGTTTTACTTTTCAGCGTTCATAGTAATGCGAGAATTAAAGTAAATGGGTATCATAAGTCCAGCACACATATCTTTAAAGTACCTTGTCCATATCGATTTATCGTAGCCGTTAGATTATTGACCTGCTTTCTTCTTGGTTAATTGCATACGCCATGAAAGATTATTAGTAAATTATTTTAACATTTTCAATACAGTCAGAACAATGAATTAAGCAAATGACACGAATTCACTTCGTTTTGCTAGGTTCTCGCCAGTTACTTACAATTTATACAAGTGAAGCATTTAGCATCTGATGAAAACCTATCACAATCCAATGAATTCATGTTATTCCATCTAAATCTTTATTTTGGCTTTCAAGTAAATGAAAGGAACTATGTTTTAACGTGGTTATGTTGTTTGATCATTTCATACTTGTTCTTGCATTTTAGTACATTTAATCATTTGTCAAAGTTGAATGAAGTGTTAAATCAAGCTATGGCGGCTGATGAAGCACGTATCTGCCAAGATCTATTAAGTCAAGCTAAATATCATCTTGATAGAGCTAAATCACGTGAAGAACAAGAACGAGTTGTTCGAAAACGTCAAGTTGGTTCAATCTCATCATGTTAATATTCAATTATTATCTCTTCTTTTTTATACCATATTTCAAATTGTTATCACTTTAAATTATCACAACACTATCGAACCAATAACTTTGTTAATATATAATAAATGCGATGTGGCTAGCAGTAAAATCCACGACGCGCGTTTAGTCCTGTTTGGGACTTGTCAACTGGATATTCGTAAATCCCAGTATCAACAACGGAATAATCCAAACCATTACAAATTGGGCTAGATCTCATATCCGTTGCACAAGTAGGTGGCTATCACAACTCAGTAGCTAAGTGGATAACTCAGTGGCAAACAGTTTCGGATTCGAGTCTCTGAGTGAACATTAACTCAAGGATTGAATTACATCCGGCCGACGAGTCCCAAATAGGTCGAAAAGCACATCCTGGATTCCATTGCTAGCCACGTCCCATCTGTCCAATATCAACTTGTCATAATGGGTATATCGAGACAATCCGCAAAGGATACCCATGTACCATCCAAGACCGATCGAATTTCAACCAAAAATACCAGGAGCGGTATAATCCAAACCATTTCAATTGAATTAAATTTACTAACAATTAACGCTAAAAATCAACTTTGCAGTAAGAAATGAAGTTAAGTTAAGTTCATTATATACTTCTTTAATTCTTGTATACTGATAGTTAGCAGAGTCTTATAACGATTACAGAAAGAATAAAATCTTGCCTAGCTCAGTGGTCTAGAGTTTTCGTATTCGGTCACGAGACCGAAGGTCACACGACGTCTCCTTTTCGTTGTTTCTGCCTACACTTCCACTGACTGCAGCCTGGATGAAGTGAAAGATGACTTATAGCGGAAGCTTTCTGAACTTCATAAGGCTGAACGCTCAGACATAGTGCTCGTAGCAGGTGACTTTAATGCCCAGGTAGGTAGCTTAAACCAAGCAGAAAGATATTTAGGTGGGGATTTCGGCTCAGCGAACAGATAATAGTGACTGTTTGCTGCACTGTGCTCAGACAATCGTTTATTTTCAGACAGCACTAATTTTAAGCATAAGGGGAGACATCGTCTAACATGGCAATTCCTTGCAGCAAACCAACGATTGACTCAAATACACCATCATTCATCGTTTGAGAGGCTCAATAGAAGGCTGACGCTCGTTCTGGAATACTTATTTGGACTCCGATCATACTCTAATACGAGCACGCATTTGCTTGCGCCTCTCTGGACGCAGAAAAGCTACATTAAGAAGACCCATTAGAGTTAAACTCAATCACGAGAAAGCCAAAAGTAGGTTCCAGGAACAACTGAGGTCACACTTAGGTAGTTCTGAAAACGAGACTAACCCAGATGTTGCTTGGACAAATATACGAACAGCTGTGGAAAAAGGAGCGATATATATTAATGATTTGAACCAAAGGGTCACGGAAAATCCGATTATTTCTACCAAGTCAAGTGTGAGACTATTTCGGAAAAAGATGACACTCTTATCTACTCTCAGCCCAGAAGTTTAGAACGATGGGAGGGACACTATAAGAAGCAGTTTCTCTGGCCTTCAGCTACTCTCCAACTACCATCATTCCCAGACAGCCTGAATAGAATATTGAAGTAGGTCCCTCGACTCTAATTGAACTTCAAAAAGCTATAGCTAATCTGAAACAAGGGAGAGCAGCTGGTCCATATAGATTGACTTCAGAGGTATTTAAATATGGTAGTCCAGTTTTAGCTGTTAGGTTGACTATTATTTTAGTTAAAGTTTGGGAGTTGGACGTAATCCCATCTGACTGGTCGCAATCACTGACTGTCCCAATACACAAGAAGGGACCAAAATCATCCTGTGACAACCATGGAGGGATTATTAAAAAGAAGAATATATTTGTAAAATCTCAGCGAATGAATTTTAAGTAAATCCTAGAGCACGTTATGCAAAGTGAGAAATACTTGACATAACATGTATTCGCGTGAATTTTCTTTTAAACCTACGTTTGGTAGAACGGTAGTTGTTTTTTCTCTGATTGCCCTAATTGTCAAATAAGGTAAGACTAAAGCTTAACTACTTACTTATCAAACAAACGTTCATCATTGTGTATGTTTGGATAGGGGTGAGGGGAGATTAATTAGGAATTCTGTCTATATTTCTCTTATCATAATGTTTTTTTCTCAACATTAGGAGGAAGAACGTGAAGCACAACGTAAGCGTCAATTGGAATTACAACAACAAGCTGAACAAATGCGACTTGATCGTGAACGACGTTTAGAAGAAGAACGTGGACGTTTCTTGGAGAAAGCTAAACAAATTATAATTGAACCAGTTGTAGAGGTGTGTTGTTTGTTCTCATTTTTTAAAATTTAGTTTGCATACACTTCATGTATACCCACACAGTTTAAAGGTCTTACAATATTGGTTGCTGTGTTTTAGTAATCAAAACAATTTCATTTAATATTTTTCTAGTACCATAGTACACCGACAAATGTTTACTTTAAACGAACAGATTAACATTTCAGTGGAAGTTAAGCACTCAACAAAGCTAATATAAACTTGAATAACAACCAAGTAGGGTAATATATCAGTAGATTTCAATATAACAAATGTGCTTTGAAGCCGATTATTCAAACTTCTATTTAATAATTATGTCAATGATTATTAATCTCGAACTAGCGTTTCATATTTCTTAGGTCTAAATATCACTTATCTTGGAAGTCTGATCAGCCCTAATGGGTTGATACCTGACGAAATCTCTGCACGGATTCGAAAAGGTTGTTTGGCTTTTGCCAACTTAAGTGACTTATGGCGAAGGCGAGATATCCGTCTATCAATTAAAGGACGAGTATATTGCGCAGCAATTCGTTCTGTTTTGCTTTACGGCTGTGAAACCAATCCGCTAAGGGTAGAGGATACTCGTAAGTTACTAGTGTTTGATCACCATTGTCTTAGAAATATTGCTCGCATCTGCTAGAATCACCAGGTGAGTAATAGTGAGGCGCAGGGTATTAGAGAATGATGGCAAATCAGTTGGTGAAGTTACAGATCTTTATCGACTGAGATGGCTGGACTACGAGTTACGTATGCCTGGACACCAATTATCACGACGCGCTATGCTGACTAGTGTTGGAGACAGTTGGAAGAAAGTCAGGGTTGGCCAAACCAAAACGTCGCATCATTCATTGAAGTCACTAACTTCTGGTCTTAGCCACGTTGGTAGATGCAGACTAATTGGTTGTGGTCCGCGTGACTATTCTAACCAATCGTTGAAGACTCCGGGTAAGGTGACGGCTCAGAATCGACCCCAATGGCGTAGTTGTCTTTCCTTAGACCGTTAGACCAAAATTACTTTATACGAACTAATTCTTTCCCCCTGTATCATGCCCTTATATATATATTACTGCCACTGAAGTAACTGCTTCTATGAATTTGGTGTTCATCTTGTTGTAGTAATGAAGTGTAGAAACTTAGATCGATGCTTATACTTGCCTGGTCATGCGTTTTAGATGATTGACTAAATATTAATTGCGTGTATGTATATTTTGTTCAATTTGCCGCAATACTGTGTGAATTTTTGATAAAAGTATAGCATAAGGATGAGCCAATTGGAATCAAGAACGTGACTTGTACGTTATTGTGCAAATTTCAAATACCATGTATAGCAAACAATAGAAGCACCTTTGTACGCTGCTCAAAATTATCCCCTGCCACTACAGAGTAGAAGTGATAGTGTCAAACGTATCAAATGTCCAATTCCGTCTTTAGGATTGTATAAAACAGCTAAATCGGCACTAACCTTAAATCTTGAAACAAACCTTAACTTGGTGCCTCCTAGAGCTTTACACAAAGTCTATTCATCCATACGGGTAAAGAGGATATTTTCGTTCTAGTCGATTTCACTTTGTGATGAAAACCCTAACCGTATATCCGTAAGGATAAATTTACGTTGTTGTTTTTCAAATTAACAAACGAAATAACCCATGGAAGACTGTAATAAGTTCATTGATTATGTTAAACTTGTTGACATGGCAGTATTTTTGTTTTTTTCCATTTACAAAAGTTTTCTGATTAGCTAAGAACTGGCTGAAAATTCGTTGCGGTTGTTTACAGTTTCCTTCTTTATTATACTTTTATCCAGCTCTTTATGTAATTTTCACACTTTTTAAATCCCTTAGGAGAAGAAATCACGTCGTAGTGGTGGCGGTAGTCGAAAACGTGATGATTTTATTGCATCTGGTGATGAGGAAAGCAGTGACGGTTCTAATGAGGCGGAAGCCGGTGATCGTTCAGAAAATGTGGACAGCGTTGGTCAACAGAAACAAAAAAAGATTGGAAATAAACGTCAAAGTTCCGAGTCAAAGGAAGGAAATCTTTTGCGTAAAAAGTCGAGATTCTCTACTTCACGTGATGATGGATTATCAGCTAAACAAAGAATGAGAATAGTTAGTAAAGCTATTGTTTCTGATTCAAGTGATAGTTCAAGTAGCGGTGAAGAAGATGAACATTAAAACATTTACAAATAAATATGTAGGTATGATTACTAACATCTTAGTGATTTTTTTCTTCACAAAATGGAATGATATCTGGTTGATAAGTTAAGCAACATTAAAACATGAACTATATCCAAACATATATATAAATAAATTAAAGAATTAATGCTTGTAAAACAAGAAAATTTCCACTACAGTTTGGATAGTAGTAAAAGATTGATTATATGTATAAAGCATTTTAAGATATGTTAAACACGTCTAGTTTTTGATCTGTGTTCGTCATGTCGTCTTGGACTACTGCTGTCCGACAAATCTGAAGGTGATGAGTCCATAGATTGTTGTTGCCTACCCGTCAAAGGAGGCGACTGATCTTCAGATTCGCTACCGTCATCATCATCAGATTATAAAATTTTACGGGTCAACGCTGTAGCACGTGCTTGATGTTCTTGTTCATCACTTGATGTTAGTAATCACACCTACATACTTATTTGTAAATATAGTATAACTCAGTGTAATACTGAGTTCTTAATGACTGAAACTACTCCATAAAAGTCGAATTCTCATTATCTACAGATCTTTTTCAAAGCAATAACCAGTGTAGCTTGCTAATTTTTACAGAATAATATTTTGTATATTGAAATTTCGTAAACCTAATTTGTTTATATTCTTGTCATTAAGTCATGTATACATTGAGAGATGGATTGAAGAACTTCATATAACAACATCAGTATCAGAGGATTTGAAATTTCCCTGTTGTCTAATTGGTTACTTGCTTGTATATCTAGTTTTATTTATGAATCTGCATCTTATTACCGATTGATAGTGTTCGATCCAAAGTGAGAACACTATCACAAGTGTAATACAGTTATAGAGAATGTCGTTAGAATTCTTCTGCAAGTCATTAAAAAATTACATACAGTGTCGTCTTTATCGAAAAATAAAATTGATCAAATGATAAAAAATATATACAAACTGAACGCTTGTATTTTGATATTCCTTTAAACGTAAAAAAATAACACAAGTTCCAAACTACCTGGTAACACTATAAAATGTTTGACAGACTTTCTAGTGTTCACCAGCAGTTGTAATATAATAACCCACTCAATTATTCGTAAGTATATGCATCGAATGCATTTCCTAGCTGTTCTCATTATCAACCGTTAGTATGTAAACTGATATGATCGGAATAAATTAGTTAGTGTCGACTCTTAAACTAATTTAATGTGGTTAGTGAGGAAATGATCTGAATAAGCCGATTGACTTTTTTCTCTCTAACCAGTTAACGGTTTTTATACACATTTCTAGTTGATGAAGATTGTGCTGACAATGTTGTTCGGAAAGGCAAAGAAAGCTCCACGACGAAATCATTCAGCTCAGAGAACAAAACTTCACCTAGGTTAATGAGATTGCTTTATCAGCTTACCGTGTAAATACTAACAGCTTTAAGTATCACTCCTGTATAAGTATTTGTATCTTCGCTTATTTATACTTTTTCCAGCCATCTTGAGAATATATATTCTATCTAGACTTACTCCCAACTCAAATTTAAGAGGTAATACGACATTAAACTTGTGTTTTCGAAATAGTATAATCTGTTGACCTTACTGTCGAAATCTCTGTTTCTCCACAACATATGCATCATAGTGCTACTTTGGAGAATCACATCCACATTCACCAAAGGCCCTAATCACCTTTCATCGGTAATTTCGTAGGATCTTTCCCATCACCAAGACTGCAGTGTAAAAAAAAGGATGATTCAGTGAGTCTAGTGATTTTCACTTCGAATTGTTTGTCTCAAATTTCCAGCCTTGCGTAAACAGAATTGTGGTGTACCATTCTCTACGTCTTACTGAAGGCACATACGGCCGAGTCAGTGTGTATCTATTAGTTTATTGAATTGCATGCAGTAAGTTATAACTGACACTTTACAATGTACCACTTTTTTAAGGAATAGATTAACTGCAAATACGATTATAAAACCTAAGTAAATAAAATTTTCGAGAAGCAAACTTCTTCGCTGAACTGCCTTCATTCTTTTTAAGTCCGGAGAGGTTGGAAGTATTGAACAACTGATTTTTAGTCTAGTTTGAGACGCTTAAACGATGAGATCGTATCCATGACCTCTTCAAGTCTTGTTTCAAGGCATTAAATTTCGGGCCAAAACAGATGTCCACTGGTCTTTGCTTTTCACAGCATTTATTAGGCTGATTTTCAACTACTCAAACTGTACAGCACCATACTTATGTTGCAGTTTGTTTTAGCAAAATTAAACTTTGTAGATGACTTTATTATATAATATTATTTATTAGGTAAATCATTAAGTTTGAGGTTGTCTTCCATCTGATCGTTCTTATGACCATCGTATACCTGCACACTTGGAATAGTGTGTTCATGAATAAATCATAAAAAGGATAACTTTTCAGTAAGAGAAAACAAGCAAAATAATAGTATTTTAAGAGAATAGATGAGATAACAGAAACCTGGGCGGGTGTTATAAGTACCATAGAGTCAGAAACATGTAGAGTGAAACAACCTAACTCTGGTTTGAAAAAGTTTTGTTTGTAATAAATTTCTGATTACGTATACCCATACAATGGATGGTGCTCGGCAGAATCGTATTATTCATTTCAATTTCATAGAAACCCCATATTAGAGTGGATGGTTATTTATACCGGTACAATCGCTTAAGTTACACATGAGAGCTTGAAAATAAACACAAACCGGGCTTACATGCAAATGTTAACTAACTGTAAGAAAACAACGGTAGTCTAGCAAGTCATGGGCTATATGGTACAATTTTGAAAAGAAAACGTTGATTGTCTTCTGAGGTGAAAATGAAAAACTATGGTTTCGCTTGGCCTACAAGTTCTGGAGCACTTTGTGGTGGTAAGTTTTCCTGAGAACGCATAACTTCTGGTAATTCTGGAGGATTTGAATATGGTGTAATGTCCAGTGTCTCGAACTTTTCAGTGGCTGAAATTCAAAGAGAAATCGAAAATGAACGGGTCATTAAGTTAAAAGTATTTTATATCGAAAGTCATGCATAAAAACGTCCGCTTTTTCTACCATTTCTGAGTGAAAAAGGCGTTTCTAAAATTGATTTAGCTGTAAGTCATTGATTTAGAATAACGTTAGTTTAACTGGAATGTACTGGATGTGAGAAATCATAATCATTACGCCAATACCATCCACACACTACTACTTTTTTAAGGAAGTGAAATTCGCGTGTATGCAATATTATAAGCAGAACGAAACTGGTCAATGTATAAATATTTACAATCTCATAGACTAACAACCTTACGTAGGAGTTTACGCATAACAGCTGGATTTGTAACTCCAAAACATCTTTAGCTTTGAATCTGATATGTATTCCTCTGATTTCAAAAGTTGTCTTCTACTTTTAGAGAAGCATAGAGCGCACACTCGTATGGTAATCATTTCTTTTGATGAATGTTCAGATATAGTTAGAAGTAGGACTCAGGCTTTTGACTTTAAGTTGCTGGTTTTGGTCTTACAGTCCTTCGACCGACCTGCATGGTACGGTAATATATAAGGAACAAGCGTTCCATGAATATGTAGTTCTATTGAGTCGTCGTGATAGGCAAGCCAGAACATCACGTCGATGTAGTAGTTATGGTCGTAAATAGCATATCTAGCGATAGGTTATAGCCGTCCAATAACTCAAGGCCATTCAATAAGTAGGTACAAACTACTAAACGGCAATCGAGTGATCTAAAGATAACTCCTCGCTATTAATCATGGACTTCCTAGTGGATATTTCCGAGAAATCCTATGTTTACGCAAAACGTCTGCATAGTGATACTGGATTTAACAGTCGTTTAATCGAAACCTGAAGTGTATTATGCCTTGAAGCTACCAATATAAAAGGGTCGAAAACTCAATGTCACCTCCTCATATATTCAGAGTAAGTGTTCTTACACATTTCCTACATAAACACTGAGTAATATAGGCTACATAAAGGAACCTTTTCAGTCTCTACCGAGGTACCAAAATATTACTAGGACAAACACACTGGTACTCGATAAAAGCAGTAAGGTCATGTGAAGAAAACGTTAGCACTAATGAGAAATGTGCACAGACCAAGAACCTTGCAATGGAGCAAAGATTACTTTATGATTTATACGATTTAAAGGTAGTTCATAATAAACCTACCTGGATCACGTAGGCATAGCCCAAGTGTTGCCGGTGTATGAGCCCTTGCTGTTTGGCTATTTAGATTATAGTAACTCAGTGTTTTTTCATCATCCATTTCGGTCTGATGCTTTAAAAGCATTTGATCTTCGGGCTTTACTTTGAGAATCCCTTCAATCATTTTCTTCACCTCGAGAACGAGACTCGTTTCCTTAGCACTCAGGTGAATGGTTGTTTTCTTACGGCGTACAACCATATATACCTCCTAAAAGTTCGAAACAGATTAAGCTACTCAAAATGTACAACGTTATAAATAATAAGCATGAAAAACAAAATATAAATACCATTTGCCCCGAAACGGTCCCAAAGGATTTGATTTAGCCACCAAAACGCCGAAACGAATGTGGCGCTGGACGTGTTTTGATGGTCGATTTCAGTTTGAGGAGGATACGAAGCTGTATAGACTTTGTTAATTTTGGCTGTGATGGTTTCCACTCGGCTTAACTTTCTTTAGAACACGCAATCAAATAGAGCCTAAACAATTTGTTGAGGTGAGGATTTTAAGCAGATGGAAGGTCAGTGGTCACCAGACAAGCTGTTCGAATTTATGTAAATGAAATGCAAGAAGCTCTCTTTTTGATGAAGTTTTGTTCTTTTAGCTCCAGATTTCCAGCTAAGAGAGCAAAACATCAAAATCATCCATCTGAGCTACAAATCTTCTCCACCATCACAAGAGGCTCTCGCTAAACAGACTTCCGTAAGTAGTTGTAGTGCATCACCTATGTCTGTTGGTAGGGAACTAGTTATATTAAGCGTGCAAGAGACAGTTATTGGTAAATTTGGATGAAATGTTATCAAAGATGCCACGGGTAACTGGAGTTTGATAATGTCTTTACTCGTATACAAACCCAGTCAAACCAGAAGTCAGGAATGAGGGGGTTTGAAGATATATTTGGGAATCTACCGGTATGTTGAGAATCGTTGGTCTAAGCTGGTTCGCAGTTGCAAAGGACGTGAAGCACGTCTTGCACATTCGTGATCTCGTGAGGATACGTGATCGAGCTGGTTTGGTTAAGATGTGTCCGGTGAAACTAATAAGGTCAGTATCGTTAACAAAGACCTACAGAGTCATTTATTCTATGGACCTATTTTCAGCCACAATATTTTAAGTTTTATAAAATATGCCGAGTTTCCTCTTTAAGGACTCTGAAAGTTTATCGGGTAACCGGTTGTGAGTTCCGAACTTTGGCTAATCATTAAAAGTGGGTGTGTCCCCAGCCCGCTTTGTCGTGATGTGTCCCTTATTATTGTGTGTTGTCCCTAAGATTTGTGTCGGAACCCAAACTTGGCAAGTATTTAAAGGGATACACAGAAGCGGTTAAAATGCTAAGTAGTTGGAAGGTTACCTCTGAGATGTCAATACTCTAGTGAGTAAAGATCAATCGATTTCAAGCATTCTTCATAAGGTTGGGATCTGAGTACGTGAACTGAATTACTGA